CCCCAAGCCTAGTATGGAAATGCTGTCCAGTGGCCCCAAGTACAGGAGGTTATGACATGCAGGGAAAGTATGTGTGAAGTATGTGTGACACAAGCTACCATGGCACTGTTAGCCACGAGTGCTACGTGAATGAATCCACCATATGCAATAGGAAAGGCAGTACTGATTGTGTGTGACGTTAGGGGACAGGACTACCTTGCACAGAAGACCGTATGGACAGGTGATGTGTGTGTGGTGCATTTCCCTCGCCGGAGTGCTCAGCTCTGCAGCACCATCTGCTCCTATGGCTACAAGCTGCCACACCCAAGTCCAACAAGAAGTCCTGGCTATCAGCGTCTACGAGTTCAGAATCAATCTCTGGTCTCCCTTGTTGTTTCCATAAGGTTCTACCCATCCCCATCCTTGGTGTCTCTGCTCTCCCTCGATTGTTAACGTCTGATCTCCACGAGCGGGAGGGAGGACTGCATGCAGGGAGAGCACACGCAGTCAGGAAACTGGCTTCAGCAAGGAGAGGATGTGACAGCGACTCTGCCATGCTCTTTCTCAAGATAGTAGTTTAGGTTTGGTTCTTATTGAGGCAGAACCTTACTATGTAACCTAGGCTGGCCTAGAACTCCCTATCCTTGAGCCTCTGCCTCCCAAATGGGATTACACGCGTGTGCCACCACACCTGGGGTTGATCCTTCCTGCTGGTTAACTTCCATTTTGTCCTCTGGCAAGGGCAGCTGTGAGTATGAGTAACAGAAGCAAATGCCAGCCTGCTCCTCCTAACAGCACTCTTTCTGTCTTTGGCCACAAAGGTTTGGCACAATGCAGTCAAGATGTTTGCTGGGCTGGGCCTGAGGAACATACTACAGGAAAAAGGAGCCATGTAAGAACTGCTGGCTTAGGCTGGGCGCCAGTGGCTCATGCTTATAATCCTAGCTACTCAGGAGGCTGAGATCTGAGGATCGTGGCTCAAAGCCAGCCCGAGCAGGAAAGTCCGTGAGACTCTTATCTCCAATAAACCACTAGAAAACCTGGGGCCAGAGATTTTAGGTTCTAAGTTCCACATACCCTGACAGGCATTGTGGCTGATCCAAACTGTTCCTATTCTTAAAATCCCACTCTTCCAGAAAGTCAAGTCCTGACTACTCTACCCAGAAAGGGTGTCTGCTTCTGAACTCTGCCTTGGAGTACCAATTATATATCACACACACACACACACACACACACACACACACACACACACACACACACTCACTCACACCCCTCCCTCTGGGTTACCTGAAGACTTGCTTCTAAGCACACTGCAATTTGGCATAAGCGTTAGGAGAAATGTTACTTTTGTATTCAACTCACTTATCTGTTTTCTGGAAACCTTTTGTGATTACTTATAGAATATATGGATAAGGCTGGCAGGTGGCTCACACCTATAATCCTAGCTACACAAGGGGCTAGGCTACCCCGGAGGACAAATTTGCCTGATTCCTATTTCAAAATAACAGCAGAAAAACAGGTCTCAAGCAGCCCCAGGTTCAAACTCCCTCTCCCACAAAAAAAAAAAAATAGTTAAGTGACTCACTCCAAAGGCTGAGGCAGAAGAACCATGAGTTCAAGGCCAGCCCTGACTACATAGCTGTTTCCCAAAAACAAACAAACCAGACATCGGTGGCTCATACCTGTGATCTTAGCTACTCAGGAGGCTGAGATCTGAGAATCATAGTTCAAAGCCAGCCCAGACAGCCAAGTCTGTGAGACACTTATCTCCAATTAACCAAAAAGTGGAAGTGGAGCTGTGGTTCAAATGATAGAGCACTAGCCTTGAACACAAAAGCTGGGGACAGTGCTTGAGTTCAAGCCCTGGAATTGGAACAACAACAAAAAGCAAACAAAATAAAATGTGGTAGATAGATTTACATGAGACTATACACACAGAGAGTCAGACTAAGTAAAGTAGAAAAAAATAAGGTGACCGTGAAGGGCATGGATGAATATCACACTGCACGCTAAGCACCCAGGAAGTCAAGGGGAAGAGGAAAACAGCAACTAGAAAGACAGTGTGCTGTGGAACAAGCTGGGCAGAAATAGGTACAAATCAAATCCATTGACCTCACTGTATCTCAATTTGGGGAAAACAGGAGACGAATAGCACGTGCCCTACAGGAGCGCAGGAGGCACCCTGGGTGGTACACAGCAGATAACACATGTTTTTCTTCCCCACTTTCCTTTTCATTATCCAATGAGAAAGAAACTAGTTTCCCAGGGAAGGCAAAGTTTGCCTGGCCCTAAATTCTAAAGGAAATTATTATTTTTTACATGAAACACTGTAAGAAGCCTTTAACAAAGGGGACAACACTTCAGATTATGGTTTTAGAGCAAACTAGATGAGATCTGCTATGGCTCTATTTAATAATGTCCTCAAATACCCAGGAAAGCTTCATATACATCCAAATGACCTATAGAGGAGCTGGGAATCCCCCCAGCTGTTTCAGTGTCTGGAGATCAGGTTCTGTTAAGCAGGGTTCAGGGTGGCACAAGGATTGAGCTGAGCAAAGCTGAGAGGCGGCATGCAGACACCAATGGCTGCCTCCAGACCAACAGCAGCCTCCCTGATGGTGGCAAGAGGCGGCAAGGCCCGTCCCCGGCCTCCCGTGCCAGAGCGCCCAGCTTCTTTTTCCAAAACAGCAAGGCCTGGGATCTTGAAGCAGCAGACGTTTCCTCAGCTAATCTCTACAAATAACTGCACATCCTCCATGACTGATTCTTCTAGAAGACCAAGCTTGAAAGCTGTAGCCGGAAGGGCTGGTTAAAAGAACATCTGCCGGGTGTTAAAATAGTAAGACAATGTGAGGACAGAATGTGTCCCTAGGGACTGTGGCCTGAGACTCTCTGAGGCTCTGAGACTCTCATCCAGGCCAACCTCTCACTATCCCATCAACATTCTCCAAGTGCCTACTGTGGACCAGGCACCGGGGATGGAGAAACAGGATGCAGCACCAACTGTCTGGGGGCTGGTCTGCTGGGCTCCAGCTGTCAATTCAGGGTGGCAAGTCAAGTTAGGAGGGGTGCAGGGGTAGAGGAACTGACCTCCTGGAAAGGCCGCAAGAGAGCCAAGCTGAGTCCCCGTCAGGGACAAAGGCATAAGGCACACAGGGAAACTTGGAGGGAGCTGGAGCTTCGTGTGAGGGATGACACAGTGCAGGCAGGCGGGGTGGACAGGGTCCAGACCCCCAAGGCCCTTGACAGGCAGAGGAATTCCCTTCCAAATTCCATCAGGACCAAGCCAGACTAAGAAAGCCGTGACTTAGTTAAGGTTGCACAGCAAGCTAGATGGAAAACCAAGCCTAGATCCCACCTAGCTGCGTAGACTCCTGCAGCCCAATCCTCTCCTCTAGTAGACCTCTCAAGCACAGGCAGCTGGGGAGGGCCGAAGAGAGAACCTATATGAGGCACTGGCCATCTTCACAGCGGAGAATGTGCTGTCCTAGTCATTTGGCAAGTCACTCCCTCGAACAGCCCTTCCTAAGTCATTGTGTTTCTCTGCAGTAGGGGAGGGCCGAGCATCTATTCCGATCCCAGAAGCATCTCTTCATCAGAGAAAAAGAACTGGACAGCTACAGCCCCAGCAGCCAGATAAGGAAAGGTGGAGCGGAAAAGCTCGGAGGGACTTGTGCTCCACACAGACAGACTAGGCAGGGAGGTGCTACCCAGGGCAGGGGACAGAGATAAATCAAACTGTACCCGGGAGTTCACCATCCTCAAGGGGAGATAAGCCTGGCACAAAAGTAACTATAAAACAAGGCAAGACTGTGATAAGAGCCACACAGATGAAGCCCAGTGGATGTGGGTTGCACAAAGGCATAATTCAGATGGGCAGTATGTTCAGTATCTTCTCCCCCGAGCCGGGCTACTCTATTAGTTGTGGTGACTCCCAGATGGAGGCAGGGGAGAAAGCTGGCAATAGACAAAGATGCTCAGCGGTTGGCAGGGTTCACGCCTGTAATCCTAGCTACTCAGAAAAAAGCCAGAATAGGCAGGAAAGTCCAAGAGACTCTTAGATCCATTAACCACCAAAAAACTGGAAGTGGAGCTGTGGCACAAGTGGTAGATCACCAGGCTTAAGCAAAAAAGCCCAGGGCCAGAGTCTAGGCCCTGAATGCAAGCCCTCGCACTGGCACCAAAACAAAAAATGAAAACAAATCAACAACAACAACAACAAAGTTCAGTGGCATCTCCTTTGAAGAAGCCAGATTCAGCAGGGAGGAGCAAGAGAGGCCCAGAGTTTTAGAGATGGTGGACTGGGGGACACGCTAGCTTCCTGTGCAGGACCAAGTCTGTTAAAAAAAAAGAGCAAAGCTGAGGCCTGGCCTGGAGCTGGCAGCGCGTGTGAGGGGCGCACTGCTTGCGGGAGACGCAGCCGCTGGGTGGGGAGCGTGGCCGGCCCACACCGGGAGGGGGTGCGCCCACACCGGGGAGGGGGCTCACCAAAGTTTCTGCCTCCCAGCTACCAGCTGTCCTGCCTCGGACGAGGAAGGATGTGCGGTGGGTGCGAGAGGAGACAGGCGGCCGCAGGCCGAGCTGGCATCTCCCGGGACCTCAGGGATGGCCACTGGGGACGGAGACCGGCCACAGCCCACGCTAGGGCCCGGCGCCCACCCCGCCAGGCAGGGCCGGAGTCCCGCCCGCCGCTTCCCGCCAGCCGAGAGGGGCCGCGGGGCGCAGGCCCGCACCGCACGCCGCGCCGCCCCAGCCCGCGGTGGCACGGGTCACCACCCGGCTGAGGCCAGCCGACTTCGGAGACCAGCGTTCGGGGTGCACAGGGGCGGCGGCGACTCCCAGGGCCAGGGCCGCGCCGGCCGAGGCCCCGCCGCCCTCCCGCCTCTCCGCTGCCCGCGCCCCGCCGCGCGCCGGCCCGGGGCTCCCGCGCTCCACTCCGCTCCGGCCCGCGGCCTCCCGGGTCCTCGGGGCGGCCCGCGGCTTCCGCGGGCCCGATTCCGCCCTCCGCCCTCCGCACTCACCGGCCCGGCTGCCGCGCTCGTCCTCTTCGGCCGCCTCACGACGCCTCGCGGGCAGCGCGGACCCCGCCACCCCGGCCCGGCCGCCCTCGCCCCGCGGCCCCGCGCGGCCGCGCCGCCAGCTGGCCCCGGGCGAGCGGCCGGGCGGCGGCGGGCATGCTCCGGGCCGTCGGCGGGCGGGCGGCGGCACACGTGCTGGCGCCGGCGGCTGAGGCGGCGCCGCGGGCCGAGCCGGCTGCACCGCTCTGCGCCGCCGCCGCTCCCGCGCCTCAGCGGCCGCTGCTGCCCGCGCGCGCCGGCCCACCGCGCATTCCCTCACTCGCGGCGGCGGCGGCGGCGGGCGGCGCCTCCTCAGGCCGCACGGGGGAGCGTCTCGCTCCGCGGCGGGCAACGCCGCCGTCTCCGGAAGAGCGTCTCGGACGCCGCCCCGCGGGGTCGGCGGCTGCTGTTCCCGGGCAGAGGGCGCGCGGGCCTTGCACTCCCTGGGGGCGGCCGCGGGCGCTGGGAAGACCGCGGCGCACATGGACGGCGGGCGCGGGGAGCGGGGCCCCGAGGCGCCGCCGGCCACCCCTCCGCCCCGGCGTGCCCGCCGCCCCGGGCGGCCTCCCCTCCACCAGCGCGGTGGACAGATGTGCGCAAGGTCCGTGGGCCGGGGGTCGCCCTGGGCGAGCGCCCGCTCAGGGCCCGCACCCCCGACGCCCGCGCTGAGGGCCGGGGTGCCGCCATGCCCCCACCCCCTTCACAGGACCGGCCCACGAAGCACCCTTTAACCCAGGCAGGAGAGGCCGGGACCTCCGGAACTACTGAAACCGGGGACAGCCATGAAGAAACACCGACACCAGACGGGCAGCTCGCGTCCACAGGTTTATTGAGCCTCAAGCGCGATGCGCACAGCGGCCGCTGGCCCGCTTACAAGCGCAGTACCCCGGTATCAGATCCGACTGAACCCCGCAACCACCAGCGACGCTAGGGGAAGCAACTTTTTCAGTGGTCACAGCTACAGTCAAACTGCCAAACGTGAGACATATTTATCTTTAAAACTGTGATGACATTGGATACAAAGTCCAGCAAATGCAAATTTATGGCTTGATTCCTCATATAAGGGCCCTACAAAAATAAGGGGCAGATGTGATGGGAAAAGGTTAGTAACAGCCTAACAATACCGGTGTAGTGTACTTAACGTTCTACCACAGTCGCAGAGCGCGTGCCCCGGCACTACATTATACATTATCTGTTTCATCAGACCTGGAAATCTCAAACCAGTCAGGATTCACATAGGACAGGTAAGTCTGATCTACCTGACAACTCCTAAAGGACTCTAGGTGTGCATTTGGGGTAGAGTAAAACCTTGTGAAATTTGCTGAGAGATGTAAAACTTAAGGTGAGAGAAATGTCTTACTTTACTACACACATGGGTGCAGGGTTCAGAATTCAAATAGCACTATGCAAAGCACCTGGCTTTGGTCCCTGGGGGTGGTTATCAATCTCTAAATCACAATCTCTGCATAAACGTGGAGGCCAGGGGCAGGCACCTCCTCCAGGTGCTCCGGTCTCCGGGCCATGGCCTTTAGAGATCTACTCATGGAACATCTGAAGGAAAAGTTATTTTTATTAAATTGGCACTAAACTTTTAGGGAAACAGCTTATATTAAAGGATTCCCAGATCCCCAACTGTATTAAGATCAAAGTACTTCCTCAACTTACATTGGGCAGGTTACTTTTTTTTATTTTGTTAAAACCAAAAAGACCCACACCAGAGTGAAACTTACTTAAACTTCAAGGAAAGCCATGCTTTTCTTCAGTGCTGATCATCTTAGACCACTTAACAGAAATGCCCACCCAGTGTGGGGTTTAGGTCAACTTGGTGCTGCTCCTTCCAAAGCCCAAGTACTCCTGATGGGAATGTGAAATGCAGAATTTACTGCGCACTTTGCTGAACACCAGGCACTTCGCATCACCTCCCTTCCTGAAAGGTTCTCACCAACAGCAGGAAGGCAGGACTGCCAGGGTGTGATCCACATCTGTGTGGCTCCAAGTCCTGTGCCTTGTGCCCACCCCCACTGCCCTAGCATGGCTTCTCTGCTTCTGCTGATGTCCCTCACAAGCAACTCCTGCAAAGGAAGGGGCAGGCCCTCGGTGGCACAGTTAACTTTCTTTCCACAGATGGAGAATACACTTATGCATGGCCCCAGGATGAACATAGTTGACTTTTTTTTTGGCCAGTCCTGGGGCTCGAACTCAGGGCCCTGGGGACTGTCCCTGAGCTGCTCTGGCTCAAGGCTAGTGCTCTACCACTTGAGCCACAGCACCACTTCTGGCTTTTTCTGTGTATGTGGTACTGAGGAATCGAACCCAGGGCTTCATGCATGCTAGGCATGCATGAGTCACCTTCCCAGCCCATAGTTGATTTCTGAGGTAACACCTGCTCTTTAAAATTGCTACCTTTCTCACTTTGGGGCTGAGTTGCTTTTCAGTGTTCATAAGAATTACCAAGCGAAAAGACAGCTGGAAGAATTTCTCTTGGTGTCCCTCCTCACAGATGTGAAAAGAATAATTAAAAAAAATAAGTAACTGATAGTTCCAATGTATTACACACTCAAAAATCAAAACATATGCTTTCTGAGAGCACAGAAGACGTTTGGGTGAAGTTTGATGCCTTTTTTGGTATAAGCCAATTATAGGCTACTAAGAAGATAACTCCTTGGCAAGATAAAACAATCATCTTCTCTTCTGAAATGGCAATTTCCTCGTTCTTAAGAATGTAGTCTTAGACTTCACAATGAAGTGAAAGTAGGGAATGAGAAGATGTCCTCACCAGCAGGTTAGTCTTTAATTGCACATACGGGGACATAATAGAAAAGGAAATGAAACAAGTCTCTACCTTCATGAGGTCTAGATACAAGCTGTACAGGAGCTGAATTAAAATGAACTTTCTTATTTACTATAACTAAAAGATTAATTTCTTTTTTGTCCGCCGTGGGGCCTGGGCACTGTCCCTCAGCTCTTCAGCTCAAGGCTAGCGCTCTACCACTTGCGCTACAGCGCCACTTCTGGCTTTTTCTGCTTATGTGGTGCTGAGGAATCAAACCCAATGCCTCATGCACGCAAGGCAAACACTCTACCACTGAGCTACCTTCCCAGCCCAAGAATTCCTTAAAAGAAAAGAAAAAAAAGGCTAGAAAAAAAATCAAGAATAAAGGCACTTGGCAAGTAACTCTGATTAGTTCCAAATCTTCAAGTGGGTACAGAAGTGGAGCAGAGACTCAACTGTTCTAGCCCAAGTACTCCCCTCCTGGCTGAGCCTTCACAGAATACACCCTTGCTCTGCTCCCCAGGCCTGCAGAGCAGCCAGGTGAAACTCTGGTGAAAGGTGCACAAAAATCAACTGAGAGCTTGCTTCAAGGCAAACCCTTCAGGGAGTAACAGAGTTGGTTTGGTTCACTATAACTATACATTAAGAACTATATAAGGAGAAAAAGTTCAAAAGCAAACCAAACTTGAAAACCTGAGCATTTTGAGTGGGAATTGGTTTTGATTCTGGAGGAGTCTGTTTATAAATATGTGCCAAGCTGGAACATGTGGGCATTGGGCTCTGATTGGCCATCAAAAAGTGGGTAGCAGCTGGGTATCAGTGGCTCACGCCTGTAATCCTAGATACTCAGAAGGCTGAGATCTGAGGATTGAAGGTCAAAGCCAGCCCAGGCAGGAAAGTGTGAGACTCTTATCTTGCCTTGAGCTGAAGAGCTGAGGGACAGAGCCTAGGCCCAGAGTTCAAGCCCCAACAACAACAACAACAACAAAATGGGTGGCTAAGCAGCTTGGCATTCTTCAACAGTCCCAACACAAACCTGTGTACTTGGGGCTCCTGAATCCGAGCAGCACTGACCAGGGGTGCTGCTCAGGCAGTGCGCTCAGCCCCCTAGCAAGGCACCAGACTCTACTTGGATATATTTCTCATTCATTAACAAGCAGAGTAGATTATTCTGACCTAAAATCAAGTACTACAGCACCTATGAAGTATTTATTTTTCTTTGTGGCAGGGGTGGAGGTGGGTCAGAGATCGGAGGGTTAAAATGTTGGGATTTTTACTGGTATGTGAAGCCAAGCTCCTGAAAGTATGGCTATTCTGGTTTCTCCATTGGTAATAGCCATTACAGTATTGACACTATCCATGTTTTTGTTGTCCAGGATGGGACAGTTACATTCAAAATGACTGGCAGAGAGCTACAGCTCTCCAGTAGGTTGACTAAGACAATTACAGAAGAACAAGCATCCCCCTTATATTTTCTTTCCTTATAAACAATGAAGTTATAGGAAAATAAGATGGATTATACTTGCAGTTTTCTAATAGTTATACAGGAATTGCAACTTCAAAAATTACATAAGCCAGGTGCCAATAGCTCATGCCTTTAATCCTAACTACTCAGGAGGCCTGAGATCTAAGGATCATGGTTCAAAGCCAACCTAAACAGAAAAGTCCATGAGATTCAATTTCAATAAACTACCAAAAAAATCCAGAAGTGGAGCTGTGGCTCAAGTGGTAGAGTGCTAAGCCTTGAGCAAAAAAGTTCAGGGATAGCACACGAGCCCTGAGTTCAAGCCTAGGGCCAGCACAAAAAGAAAAAAACCCTACATAACTGAAAGCCAATATATGCTATATTTTTAATATTCAACATGTATTCGTCTATCACTATGGAAACTGTTAGGCATTTGTTTTTTAAAATGTATTTATAATGCAGAACAACTGTATAAAATTGGTGTGCAAAAGTTCATCATAAAAGGTTAACGCTATTTCTTTAGAAACAAGTTGCTTCCCCTGTGTATATTTCCTTATTCTTGTTATAAATTGAAGACATATACTATTTAAAAATAATGCTTTTTAAATAGTAAAATATACAAGAGATTCCTGAGCATAACAAAAATATCTTGAAAATATGTGGCCGTCTGAAGTATAAAATAGCAAGTGTTAAGAATAGCATGATTGTAAAACTACTATTTGAAGGCTTATAAACCAGTACAAAATAGTTTGCCTTTTCTGAGTGCATAATTATACATACATTAGTGCAAACAAAAATGGCTCAAATTTAATGGCTACAAATCTCAAAGATTTGCAGACGTGCGCAAGACATGGAACTTCTTTAGCGTCATGCGAACTGAACCCAGTTCTCGATTGATCTTTTCCAAACGATCCTCCAACGCTTCCTAGGTGGGAATAATGGTAAAAATGTAGTGAGAATTCCACATCAAGTTCACCAGTTTTGCAACCACCAAGCTCATATTATCTTTTAACAAAAGAATAAGCATTTAAATTCCAGATAGTGACTTTACTTTCCATGCAAATCCCTTTATCATTATTTCTTTTGTTTCTTCCCCTCCCACCTCCCTCTCTCTACCCTACCCTATTTCTGAGTTACTTGGGACTTAATCCATGGCCTCTCTCATGCTAACAAGTGCTCCACTCTTTGGGCCACTTTCTCAGTCCTACTATTTGTTTTAAACTGAACAATATGTCAATATCACAGTCCTTCAAAGTACACTTCAAAATATTCTTAATGTTTGGCATATTCAATATTTGTATGCCTATAATCACAGCTACTCAGGAGGCAGAGATAAGGAGGGTCAAGGAGAAAGCACAGGCAGGAGAATCTGGTCTGAGAGACCCTATCTGAAAAAATAAGTAAAACAATAAAAGAGTAGATAGTTGAAGTGGTAAAGTGCCTACCTAGCAAGTGTGAGACTCTCTTGAGTTCAAGTCCTAGTACTGCCAAATATATATATGCAAATTCTAGAAATAATAATATAAAAATGGAAGGGAAAGCCGGGCGCTGGTGGCTCACGCCTATAATCTTAGCTACTCAGGAGGCTGAGATCTGAAGATCACGGTTCAAAGCCAGCCTGGGCAAGGGAAGGCCGTGAGACTCTTATCTCCAATAAACCACTAGAAAACCAGAAGTGGCGCTGTGGCTCAAGTGGTAGAGCACTTGCCTTGAGCTGAAGAGCTGAGGGATAGTGCCCAAGCCCAGAGTTCAAGCCCCAGGACTGACCCAAAAAAAAAAAAAAAAAAAAAGAGAAGGGATGATTCTTCCACTTTGATAAATTGAGAGCAGTACAAGAGAAGCCTAGGAAGCAATTGATACATCTCACCAGAAGAAATGGGCACAATAGATCAAGCTATAGCCCACTCATGACTTCCTTCCAACAAAGGAAAGGAAAAAAAGCCAGGTGTCAATGGCTCACACCTGTAATCCTAGCTACTCAGGAAGCTGAGATCCTACGACTGTGGTTCAAAACCAGTTCGAGAGTTCGAGCAAGAAAGTCTGTGAGAGTCTCATTTCTAATTAACTACCAAAAAGCTGGAAGTGGAGCTGTGGCTCAAGTGGTGGAGTGTTAGCCTTGAGCAAAAAAGTTCAGGGACAGTATGAGGCCCATTTGAAGCCCCAGATCTGGAAAAGAACAAAACTGGAAACTTCTAAAAATATATATGTATATACATACTTCACAATTACAATGAATAACAATTAATAGTATCCAGAAAATACATATTTATCATTTTAGATACTTTACTTAGTATTAACTCCAATGTTAGCATAAAATAAAACTTCTGATTTTTATCTTTAGGGCTAGGAACTGCTTTTTAAGCACAAGGCCCTGCGTTCAAACCTCAGTACCACCAAAAATAAAACTATACATATACTTATGCTTTATATATTTTAACAAGTTTATCTGAAAAAGAATTGCATTATATTATTCATTATATTCAGAAGACAGATAAGCAAAAAAATCACTGTCCCTCTTTCCTGTTTGTTCTGCACATTTGCACACCCTTTTGAAAAGAAAAACTAATACTTCCAATATTTTTCAACTGAATAATTCCTTCTCTTATAACATCCTCTTGAATCAATATATATCATTCCACAAGTAACATATCTAACCAGGAAATCTTTTGAGTAGAAATTTAGGTTGCTTCTAATTTGGGACACTATAAATAAGGCTGCAGTAAGTTTCTTAAACACGTCTCCTTGCAGTATCTATAAATATTGCTTATGAATCATTCCCAGAAGTAAAACTGTGCTAGGTTCAAAGAAATGCAAAATTCTGAGGCTTTAGATCTATGTAGTGTTGTATTCCAGAAAGTCTGACAATTTCAACTTCCACTTGCATTGTATGAAAACAAGCTTTTCTGTGCTTTGTTGTTTGTCTGAAACTTTCAGTTGTCCTGCCACTGTCTGGGTTAATAAGTAAATTACTCAAAATGCCTGTAGATTTTTCTTTGTTTTGCTGGTCTTGGGCTTGAACTTAGGGCCTGAGTGTTGTTCTTGAGCTGTTATGCTCAAAGCTAGCATCCTATCATTGAAGCCACAACTCCACTTTAAGCATAGGGGGCTAACTAAATGGAGAGAAGAATCTCCTAGACTTTCCTGCCAGGCTGGCTTCAAAACACGATCCTCAGATCTGCAGGCTCCTGAGTAGCTACGATGACAGACTTGAGCCACCAGCACTCCGCCCCAAGCCCCTTTTTCTGCCATTTTTTTTCTCAATGGACTGAAGCATTAATGTGTACAAACAGGAACTATTGCCCTTCAGAAAGTCTTATTTTAAAAGGAACTTACCACATTCATTTATAAATATAATAGCATTTCAAGGTGATTTAGAATCAGCGTATCATATTTTCCTTCTGTCTTCCTAGTCAACTATTTTAAGTTTCATGTTTTGAATCCTATAAATTATTCAACAAAAATCTTCGGGACAACAAGCAAATACTGAAGGTCAGAGAAAAAGACAAGGCAAAAGGCCCTCCACTATTTTCCTTGGGTCTCTGCTACCAAAAATCAGTCTGAAAACCTTAGCTGAAGTTAAGGCACTGATAAAGTATATGCTTGCTGTTCTGTTTAAAATGTTCCTAAAAGAGCAAATTTTAAACAGCCTGTGGTTTCATGCATTTTTATTCTCTGAACAGCAGTATGCACTGGCCTCATCGCCAGCATCGCCAGCACCACCTGCTGCTCAGGATGGGAACCACACCTCTCTCCCTACTGCCATTCCAGTGATAAGGGACAACTGTTTATTAAATAGAAATAAGTGGGATGGCAACAAGAAAGGAGATAAGCTAGCATTAACGGAACTATGTGAAATCTGTTCAAAGCTTTGTGTAGAACTGAGAATATGTTACGAGTGCATGCCCAGCATACATGAAGTCTTGGCTTCGGTCCCACCACCACACACACAAAACCCAAAGACAGACTGCCCTTTGCTTCCTGAACATCCTTCTCTCAAGGTCTACAGCTAGCCCATTTTATTCCTGAAAGCTAGCAGGAGTTATAAAATAACTGTAATTGTCAAACACTTCCTGCCAAGGTCAGAAAGTTCTGACTGCTGCTTCAGCACTCCGTGCACTTAAGAAAGTCTTCTTGGATGAGTGGATCGTGGACACACAGATGCCTATGGTGATCAAGCCAAGCCACTTCACCTGATTCATTCTTGTCTGTAAAGTGATTCTTCCTCCAGGAGAAGGCATTCGACTCAGTGCTGCCTCAATCTGTTAGCACAAGAAAATAGCCAAATAAAAACAGAAGAATTCTGATTCCTGGCAGGGAGGTTTATAACATAGAAAGGAAAAAAAAAGACTTTCGCCTAGTGTTTTCTGCTCTGTTCTGATATCATGTAAGTGCCCTCTGTTGTTAGGTGCTGACAACAATTGATAACATGGCTCATGACATTTCTAGCATAGTTTTGGTTACCCCCCAATAATTCCATGGGACAGTCTGACTCAACACCCTTCTATTTCCTAGACATTAGCATTAAGTTCAGAAAAAAGATTTTAAAGACATTTTTGTTTATTTTACCTGGTCCTTTTCTTTTGTAAGTTCATCAAAAAATCGCTCCGTTTCAGCTAGGGTCCTAATTTTTGCTGTATATTCAAAATCATTACCCTGTGGTGTTACTGAAACAGGCTTACACTGCTCATAGCTAACTGACTTAGTCTTCTCCCAGGCTGGTCTCACAGACACTGTCTTCACTCCGTTTGGCAAGGGTTCAGGGCTAGAGCTATGACTGGCATAGTCATCGGTGGCTTTTTCTGAATAGTTTTTTTCTGTCAGAAAGGAAAGAAATTTTATACTTCTTTTCAATTTTTTCCAACAGATAATATATATATCAAATATATGCTCAACTTCAATTTCTATACATAGGTGCAAATGGCCCAATAATGAAGAGATATACTAATGAATCCTAACAAAGGAATTTCAATTCAATGTGTCAGCGTATGTGGTGTACAAAGCATCATCCCTCCCACCCCACTCATCCCTAGACTGCCTGGTTCCGTTTTCCTATGACTTTCTGCCCACCCCCTCTCCACTCTTCTCCCCCCCTACCCAATCCGTCCCTTCCCCAGTCAACACCCATTCTGGCTTCCTGACAATCGTTTTGTTAAACTGTAAGTTAGTTGTCTGTAGAAGTTACACCACTGGACTTCTCCACTGCATAATGAAACATATTTGCTCAGCTTTTTTTCTCCACAGAATTAAAGGCTTTTCCCTCAGTTTGACAATTTTCACAACTTTCCTAAGCAAACTTTATGTAAATGTAGTTGAATGTTAAGTGTTTTTTTTTTGGGTGCCATATAGTAAACTTAAAGCAAAAAAAAAAGCCTGATATAGATACCAGTGGCTCATACTTGTGATCCTAGATACTCAGAAAGCTGAGATCTAAGGATCATGTTTCAAAGTCAGCAGGGGGAAGAAAGTCCAAGACCCCAGGACCATCAAAAAAAAGTCTAAAATCTAATCCTGACATTTAGTGAACATGTCCTGATGCTAAAGAGCAGATGCTCTTAGAGCCCATTGCAGAAACTGCACACACATTACCTGTGACTTGATCCTAACTTGTAACATTATAGCATTACAAGCCTGGGCTGATTACTAGAGTTTAATATTGGCGCACAGCCCAGTTCCCCACACCTCAGCTGCCCAACTTCCCCAGGGCAACAAAGTGCAGCATCATGAATGGCTAGCTGGAGGGATTATTTTTTAGAACTTTCCAAAGCTATCAAAACCTTGGGAAATAAATGACAATAGCCATAACCAATCAATTTATTTTTTAAAAACAGATACCTTCTGAGTCATGTAGAGGAAGAAACTGGAGCTGTTTTCTTGGATTGGTTCGTTGTAATGTGGACACAGGAACAGTATCTAAATCATCCAAAAGTATATCAAATCTATTGAATGAAGCAAGTTATTTGTGAGAAAAAATGTTAACTGGTTTTCCCTATCTCCATTAGAAAGATGAGTTGGCATCCAGTGAACTCTTTCTTACATTTACATATTTCCTTTTTTTCTTTTGTTGGTTGAGGGCCTTGAACTTGGGGCCTGGGTGCTGTCCCTGCACTCTTTGGCTCAAGGCTAGTGCTCTATCACTTAAGCCACAGCACCACTTCTGGTTTTCTGAGTGATTTATTGGCGATAAGAGTCTCATCGAGGGCTAGGAAGGTGGCTCAGTGGTAGAGTACTTGCCTTGCATGCATGAGGCCCAGGGTTCGATTCCTCAGCACCACATAAGCAGAAAAACAAATACAAAAAAAAAAAACCAAAAAAACAAAAAAAAAGAGTCTCATCAACTTTCCTGCCCAGGCTGGCTTTGAACCACAATCCTCAGATCTTAGCCTCCTGAGTAGCAAGGATTCCAGGCACAAGCCACCAGCACCCAGCCTACATATTTTCTTATAACAAAGCTGGTCATAATTTATAAAGTTGAAATTTAATGACTATTTTCTAACATGAAATTATACTTCCACACAGATCTAAAGCCTTTTGACACACATTATGTCAGTTGATCTTTATAACATCCGGGCAGCATCATTCTCCCTGTTTTGTTTTGTTTTTTTTTTTGGTCGTTCATGGAGCATGGACATGGGGGCTGTTCCTCAGCTCTTCAGCTCAAGGCTAGCACGATACCACTTGAGCCACAGTACCACTTCCAGCTTTTTCTGCTTATGTGGTGCTGAGGAATCGAACTCAGGGCCTCATGCATGCAAGGCAAGCACTCTACCACTGAGCCACCTTCCCAGCCCATCTCTTTGTTTTATTGAAAGGAAAAGTAGGGTTCGATGTGCTTAACTGAGCTCCTAAGTGCCAAAGGGAGTGGGTGTAGAACCAGGAGGCCTTCCCACACAGAACACCCTGCTCCCCCTCCAGAGGACAGGTGGGGACAGGGACCTTGCACCTGTTTAGCTCACTGTCTTGTTCCAAAGTTTCCCCATGTCATTAACCTTTTCAGGAAGGACAATTCTGCTGGGCACCAGTGGCTCACACCTATAACCCTAGCTACTCAAGAGGCTGAGATCTGAGGATCAAGGTTCAAAGCCAGCTCAGGCAAGAAGGCCCATGAGACTTTTACCTGCCATTAACCCCCAAAAAGCCAGAATTAGAGATATGGCTCAAGTGGTAGAGCACCAGCCTTGAGTGAAAAAGCTAAGAAAGAGTGCCCAGGCCCTCTGGTTTGAACCCCAGTACTGGTACAAGCGCACGTGTGCGCGCACACACACACACACACACAAAAAGAATTTTCATACTATATCTATATAGAATATTCATTCTCTATCTCAGCATAAGATGTTGAGATATAGCCAGGCGCCGGTGGCTCACGCCTGTAATTCTAGCTACTCAGGAGGCTGAGATCTGAGGATCACGGTTCAAAGCCAGCCCGGGCAGGAAAGTCCATAAGACTCTTTTTTTTGGGGGGGGGGGTCCAGTCGTGGAGCCTGAACTCTGGGCCTGAGTGCTGTCCCTCAGCTCTTCAGCTCAAGGGTAGTGCTCTACCACTTGAGCCACAGCGCCATTTCCGGCTTTTTTTCTTTTTGCTTATGTGGTGCTGAGGAATCAAACCCAGGGCCTCATGCACGCAAGGCAAGAGCTCTACCACTGAGCCACCTTCCCAGCCCCCGTAAGACTCTTATTTCCAATAAACCACTAGAAAACTGGAAGTGGCACTGAGGCTCAAGCGGTAGAGCATTAGCCTTGAGCTGAAGAGTGCAGGGACAGCACCCAACCCCAGAGTTCAAGCCCCACGACTAACCAAAAAAAAAAAAAAAAAAAGATGCTGAGATAGTATTAAAATCTAGTAGTAGCAAGTTCATAAATTTTTTTTTTTTTTTTTTTAGTTATGGAGCTTGAACTCTGGCCCTGGGTACTGTCCCTCAGCTCTTCAGCTCAAGGCTAGCGCTCTACCACTTAAGCCACAGTGCTACTTCTGATTTTCTGGTGGTTTATTGGAGATAAGAGTCTCATGGACTTTCCTGCCCAGGCTGGCTTTGAACCACGATCCCCAGATCTCAGCCTCCTGATTAGCTAGGATTACAGGTGTGAGCCACCGGCGCCCGGCTTAAAAAATTATTTAGAATGATATTCATTAAATAAAAAAAATCTACAAAGTTCCCACTGATAACTAGAAAAATCAATAATAGGTTTATAGGTAAAAGTCAACCTTTAAAAACCAATCACAGGGCTGGGAAGGTAGCTCAGTGGTAGAGCGCTTGCCTTGCATGCATAAGGCCTGGGTTCGATTCCTCAGCACCACATAAACAAAAAGAAAAAAAGCCAGAAGTGGCACTGTGGCTCAAGTGGTAGAGCGCTAGCCTTGAGCTGAAGAGCTGAGGGACAGAGCCCAGATCCAGAGTTCAGGCCCCACGACCGGACCCAAAAAAAAAAGCCAATCACATAAATATATTATTTCTAGAATTTTAGAGGACTTACCGAATTGGATTACTTTCATTTTTGCTAAGCAGATGATTAAATCCGTGGGACAAGTTTTCTTTAGGGGATCTCTTTGGACTATATGCCACAGTCACTGGTGTTAACATAATCTCTCTTTTGGCTAAAGAAAAAAATAAAGATGAAATATTATTTTCCTACTATATGTTAGGTTGCAGACCTGTTTTTCAGTAGGAAATTTTTTCCTAATTTTTAAAGTAACATAATTTTATACTAATACTTTGAAAGTTAAGAGTACACAAGTAAAAATAAAATGACCCATAATCTTAACACCTAGATGTAGCCACAATGACTTTTTTAGTATCAGACTGGAATTTCTGAGACTGACTCAAAACTGGTTTTTCAGGATTTTAGAAGTCAACTGGAAATAAGGAAACACTAATGCACTGGTGAACCCTCCTCTAACAGAGCTGGCTCAAGGGAATAACTCACATCAAATAGCAGAAGCAGCTTCTCTTTTCAAGTGAGTGAGTCATTAGTTGGATTATGTTTAATGTGTAACTGTCTACTCAATTTAATGGACACACAAAAACACTTGACTCATACACTTAGGAGTGTGTGTGTGTGTGTGTGTGTGTGTGTGTGTGTGTGTGTGTGTGTGAATGTGTGTGTGTGTGTGTGTGTGTGTGTGTGTGTGTGTGTGTGTGTGTGTGAATGTGTGTGAATTCTGGGGCTTGAATTAAGGGCCTGGACGCTGTCCCTGAGCTTCTTTTGTTCAAGGCTGGTGCTTTACCACTTGAGCCATAGGTCTACTTCTAGATTTTTCTAGTGGTTAACTAGAGATAGAGTCTCACAGACTTTCCTGTCCAGATTGACTTTGAACCATGATCCTCAGATCTCATCCTCTCTGAGTAGTTCGGATAATAGGCATGAGCCACTGGTACCTGGTTAAGCAAGAAGTTCATCTATCTATGCTCAAATAATTTTGTCATTGAAGGAAGTCCTGTAGAGAGACCACCCCATGCTCCAGTGCTCAGCCAAGCACTGGCAGGCACACAGAGACACTGAAACCCAAGCACCTGGCTCAGATATCACTCTCTTTGGCCTAAGAGAAAAGTGCACTGATTCTTACTTGGAGTGCTGGATTTACGATTGGAAGGTGGTAAAGACGATGATCTCTGCGAAGTAGAACTCTGTCTCTTTTGTCTGTGTTGGGCACATTTCTCTGGTGAACGACTTGCTGAAGACTCAGTGTGCCGAGAATTCACTAATTCTGTACCAGACAAATACAAACAAACAAACAAAAACAAAGTCAAAACAAGCCTTTATTATAGATGTCACACTGCACAAGGTCCTCCACTGAATATACATTTGACTCACACACACTCATTCACCCACTGAGAGATACCTGTCTGTCTATCTGTCCGTGTGCTTGTATGCACACGCCTGCGTGCTGTTACTGAGGTTTGAACTCAGGGCCTCTCTACCATTTGTGCCACAGCTCTACTTCAGGCTTTTTTTTTTTTTGGTCTGTTGTGGGGTCTGAACTCTGGGTCTGGGCTCTGTCTCTCAGCTCTTCAGCTCAAGGCAAGCACTGTACCACTTGAGCCACAGCGCCACTTCCAGTTTTCTGGTGGTTTATTAGAGATAAGAATCTCACATTCCTGCCAGGGCTGGCTTTGAACCTCATCCTCAGATCTCAGCCTCCTGAGTAGCTAGGATTATAGGTGTTAGCCAGGGAGCCCAGCTTACTTCTGGCTTTTTCTGTGATTAACTGGAGATAAGAGTCTCATAGAGGGCTGGGAAGGTGGCTCAGTGGTAGAGCGCTTGCCTTGCATGCCTGAGGCCCTGGGTTCAATTCCTCAGCACCACATAAGCACAAAGAAAAAAGCTGGAAGTGGCACTGTGGCTCAAGTGGTAGAGCGCTAGCCTTGAGCTGAAGAGCTGAGGGACAGTGCCCAGGCCCGGAGTTCAGGCCCCACGACCGGACCCAAAAAAAAAAGTCTCAGATTTTCCTGCCCTGGGTGGCTTCAAACTGCAATCCTCTGATCTCAGACTTCTGAGTATTTAGGATTACAGATGTGAGCATCGGCACCCAGCAAAAAGACAGTTATATTAATTAAATGAGGAACTGGGGGAGTAAAGATACCTGTACCTATCTGTCTTAAACAAGGAATAAAATACTACCTGAGGTGTCCTCTTTCTCTGTCTGTGTCCCCCAATTTTTTAATATTCTTTCTTCATTGAGTTCTTTCAAAGCTTTCATAATTGGCGTGTCTGACGTTTCTTTTTGTTTTTTAACCAATAGGCTTGTTGATGAACTTCCAGATGAAGAATCCTTTTCCGGAGGAGAATGGTACCTTAAATAATAATTATAGTCGTAAGTGCTATAAACTGAGTATTTGTGTGTCCTCCACCTGATTAATGTATAGGTTGTAGTCCTAATCTTTACGGGATGGTATTTTAAGAAGGGATTTTTCCAAGGACATTTGGGTAAAATGAGGTTATGATTAAAGAGGAATCCGTAGGATTAATGTCCTCAGTAAAAAGAGGAGGAATCTGAGGGTACTGTCTGGCACACAATAAGGATAAGCCATGAGGACCTCATCCATGTGGCACCTTGACCCTGCACTTACAACTCCAGACTGAAGAAATCAGTATTTATTGTTTAAGCCACTCATTCTGTGATAACTGAAGAAAGCACACCAAGCCTGGACAATACTAGGATTCACAGAGGATTAAGAAGCAAGTTGAACCATCTCTTGCCTTGCCATCGTCTAGCTACCTGCATCTGCCCTTCAGGGAGGTAGGGGTCATTAAAGGAAACTGAACATTGGAAAAACAAAAAGAAGAAGCAAGTTGACAACTAGCCACTATGATGAAGATGTTTTATAATGTAAACAATTCAGAGTGAAGCTACATGCAGTTACCCAGTACTTCTCAACCCTTTTAACTTCCTATCACATAAAGAAATTTTGTATTTGAACTAAACAGTGATGGTGACACACACCTGTAATCCTAGAACTTGGAAGGTTAAGGCTGGATAATTCAGAGTTCAAAACCAGTCCTGGGCTATATGTCAGCATCCTGTGTCTTATACTCATAAACTGACATGTTGAACGGAAACCCCTTTGCAAAACTAAGTAAAAAAAAATTGTATACATTTTTAGAAGCTCCTGTCTCAAAAGGCTAAGTGTTGCAGTAAAGCTTAGTGGTAAAGTACTTGCTGAGCATGTACAATATCCCAAGCTCAAGTTAGGTCTTGAGGCAGGTCCTCAAAAGTAAAACAGTTCCATGCTACCTGGGCTACATACTGAGACCCTATGTTTAAAAAAAGGACCAGGGGCTGGGAAGGTGGCTCAGTGGTAGAGCGCTTGCCTTGTATGCTCGAGGCCCTGGGTCCGATTCCTCAGCACCACATAAGCAAAAAGAAAAAAAGCCGGAAGTGGTGCTGTGGCTCAAGTGGTAGAGCGCTAGCCTTGAGCTGAAGAGCTGAGGGACAGTGCTCAGGCCCAGAGTTCAGGCCCCACAACCAGACCCCCAAAAAAATAAAATAAAATAAAAAAAGGACCAAAGAAATGGCTCTTGGGCTGAGGCTGTAACTCAGTGGTAAACCACTCACCTGACATGTTCAAGCTCTGGGTCTGATCCCCATAAAAACAGAAACTCAAAGATGGCTCCTTGTATCTTTCTGAAGAAAGCATAACAGTCTTGACTAGCCCTCCAGTAGTTATCTTACCCAGGAACATGGGGTTCCTCCAGCTGGTTATCCACCTTCCTGTCTTGGATGTCTAGAGGCTGACCGGTAAAGATGGAATATTCTGCACCAGGTATCAGCCACTTCCGCCTGCTGACATCCGAGGTAGCTAGCATGCTACTGGAATGAGAAACATTCCAAGACATTGCAAGGTTTGTGCTTCAATTCACACAGTACGTGTATGTTAAGACAACCTGCTTTCAGGTAGCATTTGCATATTTGCACAATGACTTAAAAACATGTAATAACTTATTTTTTAGATACATGAATTGAACGGGACTTCTGAACAGTCCCTAATTGCAATCAAAACAGGTACTCCACAGCCCCTCAACTGCTTTTAGCATCCTCCAACATGGCTTACTCTGCTGCAGAACTCAAGGAAGGAGATGAGCAGGGCTACCCTCTGTGTTTCCTTAAGACACAAAGGGAAGAAGCAAAACCAGAAACATTTTGTGTCTGTACTATCTAGCAGAGAAGCCCCAGCTACATGCTGCTGCTGAACACTGAAAAGTGGCCACTGAAATGATCAATTCCAAGTCACATGTAGCCATTGTTCCACCCGGACCCAATATCCTTCTAGATTACTTCCTCCATGTTGTTATAACAACTCTGCTTGCGGGGCTGGGAAGGTGGCTCAGTGGTAGAGCGCTTGCCTTGCATGCCTGAAGCCCTGGGTTTGATTCCTCAGCACCACATAAGCAAAAAGAAAAAAGTGGAAGTGGTGCTGTGGCTCAAGTGGTAGAGCGCTAGCCTTGAGCTGAAGAGCTGAGGGACAGCGCCCAGGCCCAGAGTTCAGGCCCCACAACTGGACCCAAACAAACAAACAAAAACTCTGCTTGCCTCAGGCCCTTATCACCGCATCACTCCTGTCTCCTCTTCTCCACATCTGCTGATGTCGTGCGAATAGGCACCGTCAGGAGCTGACTAACCTCTGTTCAGTAACCTGACCCTATAACTCCTCAGCTGTCCACCTCAGAAAATATCACTGGACCCCATGATCACCAGAGATCACAGCCAATGAAAACAACAACACTCGGAAGGCCCCTCTCCTTTTCAGCATGTATGCCTAACCCCACCGCAGCAATGGCCTGCAAACCATGGCCCTGGTCACCAAGCCCTCATCTATGTGTTCTGGAATCCAATGACTCATGACCCTTCCTTTCCATCCCCACACCCATGCCTCCCATTCATACTTAGCTAACAACAAAATCCCAAACTTGACTAACTGCAGTGGATGTACTTCCTGTCTATATTGGCACAGACCATCTCTGCTGGAAAACAGTCACCTGAGGGTGCAGTCTCATCATCATCTTGAACAGTGGTGGCCACACACCTTTCCATGATCAGAAAGCTCCTGTTTTCCAGCACAACTGACTTTCCTCTCTCTACTCCCTAAGCCTTTTGTCCCAGCTCTCAATGTCAAACAACAACCTCAAGTCTAGCCTCAAAGCAAGCATAAGCCCTGAGACAAGAGCTCATACCTCTATTCCCCTTTCTCTGTTACCATTCCTTTCACACCAAACTTAATATCTCTCATCTATTTCATGTCAACTCCCAGTTACTTTTGCTCAAGAAAAAAATTTTTTTTGCTTTGTTAGGGATGAGAATTTTGTAAGAATGTTTAATACATTTAAAAATTGAGGAAGAGGGCTGGGAAGGTGGCTCAGTGGTAGAGTGCTTGCTTTGCATGCATGAGGCCCTGGGTTCAATTCCTCAGTACCACATAAGCAGAAAAAGCCAGAAGTGGCGCTGTGGCTCAAATGGGAGAATGCCAGCCTTGAGCTGAAGAGCTGAGGGACAGCGCCCAGGCCCAGAGTTCAGGCCCCATGACCGATAAGTAAATAAATAAATAATTGTAAGACATACTACAAGCACCCACCTACCCACTCTCAGTTCTAACTGATGCTAAGATCTTTTCATACTTGGTTTTATTAAGACAAAAAATTATATATACACTTGAATTTGTTAAATCAGACTACAATATACATATCCTTTTCTGCTACTGTCCTGCTCAACGTTATATTGATGATATATTCTATTAATATAGATCATGCTATCATTTAATAATTAATCTATAATATTAACACAAGCTGTTTATACTTTCTCCTGGTAACCGTAAGTTTCTAATATGTCACACATAACCAATGCCAAAATTAACAAGTAGAAAATGAAAGTATATATCTACCATCACTAGTCCTCCTGCTATTTTTTTTCTTTTTTCTTTTTTTTTTTGCAGTTGTGGGGCTTGAACTCTGGGCCTGGGCGCTGTCCCTCAGCTCTTCAGCTCAAGGCTAACACTCTACCACTTGAACCACAGCGCTACTTCCAGTTTTCTGGTAGTTTATTGGGAGAGTTTCATGGATTTTCCTGCCTGGGCTGGCTTTGAACTTTGATCCTCAGATCTCAGCCTCCTGAGTAACTAGGATTACAGGCCCAGCTTCCTCCTGCTATTGAAAAACCACTCTCCAGACAGACTGGACCAACTTGTAATCAGCCAAGAATGTAACTTCCTATTTCTTTACATCTTTAACAAATTTTGGAAATTATTAGATTTTGTGTGACTAGTGTGATGGTGTGAATGGTATGCAATTGCTGTTGTTATTGTGTGTATTAAATATGATACTAGGGAAGGAAATCAGAGCATTGCCCATGCTAAACAAGTACTCTTCCACTTGAGCTACACCCCCAACCTTTTTATTTGTATTTTCTTTCAAGATAAACTTCAGGGACTGGGAAGGTGGCTCAGTGGTAGAGCGCTTGCCTTGCATGCATGTTCGATTCCTCAGCACCACATAAGCAGAAAAAAAAAAAAAAGCCGGAAGTGGCGCTGTGGCTCAAGTGGTAGAGCGCTAACCTTGAGCTGAAGAGCTGAGGAACAGCACCCAGGCCCAGAGTTCAGGCCTATGACCGGACCCCCCCACCCAAAAAAAAAAAAAAAAAGGATAAACTTCAATTTTCCCTCTGGCCTCTAACCAAGATCCTCCTGCCTCTGCCTCCCAAGTAGCTGGAATTACAGGCTTGAGCCACCAAGCCCAGTTCTAATACTATTTGATTATTATTTTTTTATTTCTTAAGACAATGAGCATCCTGTAATTTTTATTAGCCACAGATTTTTTTCTGTAAATTAAGATACTAGTATGTTCTTTTACCATTCTGAAAAAGTAATCTTTTTCTTATTAAATTCTAAGAGTTCTTTTGTATACTGAATAATCACCCTTCATTCAATTCAAAAATATAAAATAGACAGGGCATAGTGTCACATGCTATAATCCCAGTTCATTCTTCCCTCCCCCAAAGCAACCAATTATGCTAAGTTTATGCATTCCCAGCCTTACTTTTTATACTTTTACGACATTTGTATGACCCAGAAAATGAGGAGGCCTATTGAAATTACTATAAATAGTATCCTATTTCAGGATGGTGATGCAGCTCAGTGGTAGAGTGCTTGACCAGCATTCACAAGACCATGGGTTCCATCAATAGCAGTAGCAAAAGAAAAAAAGGTGCTGGGAAGATGGCTCAGTGGTAGAGTGCTTGCTTTGCATGTATGAGGCCCTAGGTTTGATTCCTCAGCACCACATAAGCAGAAAAAGCCGGAAGTGGTGCTATGGCTCAAGTGGTAGAGCGCTGGCCTTGAGCTCAAGAGCTGAGGGACAGCGCCCAGGCCCAGAGTTCAGGCCCCACGACCAACAAAAAATAAAAAAAAAGAAGAAGAAGAAAAAGAAAAAGAAAAAAAGGCACTCATTTCTTCTGCAACTAGATTTGATGTTTCCCACCCTGTACTTAAAATGAAACCATGAAACCATGCTGACAATCTAGTTCAGAGGTCAACATTTTTCTTCTCTAATGGGCTACATAGTAAATATTTAATTTTTACTGGCTAAACATCTGTTCCAACTATGCAACTCTGCTATTGTCATGCAAATATAGCCACAGATAATCTGTAAATGAACAGCCTTGCCTATATGTCAATAAAACTTTATTTATGGACACTGATATTTGATTTTCATGTAATTTTTACATGTCATGAAACATTATTCTTTTTTCCTCCAGTAAATATTTAATTTTTACTGGCTAAACATCTGTTCCAACTATGCAACTCTGCTATTGTCATGCAAATATAGCCACAGATAATCTGTAAATGAACAGCCTTGCCTATATGTCAATAAAACTTTATTTATGGACACTGATATTTGATTTTCATGTAATTTTTACATGTCATGAAACATTATTCTTTTTTCCTCCAAACACTGAACAATGTAGAAATCATTGCTCCCTCACACACACAGTGAGTGTAGGAATGGACTTGGTGTAGGCTGGAGTTAGTAATGGGATAGCTTGTGAATGCGACAGCCTGTGCCACATGGTGTGGTATCCTGCAGAAGGATGTTTCAGCATGCACATGTCCAGGTACCTAAGCTCACACCACTGAGCAGTTAAGAACTCAATGCTTTCCTGATATCTTTTTTCACAACCCAAATGGCTCTGGGTAGCAACACTGAAAAGATCCAAAAATAATTTCTTAATACAGATCTTACTTCTGCAAGAAAATTTAACCATGACTTAAGTATGGTTTAAACAGATGAGCTCCTCATTTTAATGTAATGTATACCTACCTACTTCTAGAGAAGTATAGAGATTAAATGAAATAACTTACTTGGCACGTGAGGGTCTCATGGCAGTTTTAGAACTATGACGAAGATTTAACATATTTTCATGTTCTACTTGCTTCACTTGAGCTTCAAGTTTTGAAACCATTCTAATTCAAAAAAAATAAGATAAATTGAATCTCTGTCAACACTATGTAAAACACAGAACTTCCAAGTTACTTCTGTTAACAGCATCTCCTCAGAAAAGGGGTGACAAGGGTTGGGAATTCACAAGACTCTGGGTTCCATCAGTAGCAGTAGAAAAAGAAAAAAAGGGGCTGGAAAAATGGCTCAGTGGTAGAGTGCTTGCTTTGCATGTATGAGGCCCTAGGTTCGATTCCTTAGCACCACATAAGCAGAAAAAGCCGAAGTGGTGCTATGGCTCAAGTGGGAGTGCCAGCTTTCAGCGAAGATGCTCAGGAACAGAGCCCAGGCCGAGTTCAAGGCCTAGGACTGGCAAAAAAAAAAAAAAAGAAAAGAAAAGAAAAGAAAAAGAAAAGGGTGACAAAAGTGTTCCCTGACCACAAACCCTTTTTCACAGAAAAATACAATTATAACTTTTGAAAGCCAAACAAAACTAGGAAAAATAAACAGAAAGGCAGATTCCTCCTCATCACTCTCATGAGCAGAGGTCTGGACTATTCATGAGACAGCTTACCTTTTCAAATCAGAAATCTGAGTGTATGCATCAAGCAATTTGTTCTCAGTTGTATTTAAGGTATCCTATAAAAGTAAAGAAAAAATTCACATAACTGAGAGAAGCATTCTGATATATTCTTTCAAGTTAAAATGTGTAATATAAAACTAACCTAAGACACACCAGCTATCTGCAAATTATACAAAGCCTATTACCTTTACTTGGCCATGCTCTTTTCCAAGGGATTCATACTCTTCCAGGAGCTGCGAAGAAAAACAAAGAATTACACCACAAAATTAAATAATATAATATCAACTGCAGGAAGGAGGTCTCCAAAAACCATAGGACCCTTTCAAAAAATGCTACTTTCACGAAGGAGGAAGGTGAAGGGAATATAATTCCCAACATTATTTTTCCAAGTTTTAAGTTTGAAGTTATTTTAAAACAAAATAAGACCAAGTGATGACCTTTAAAACTTTCATAATTTAAGCTGAGCACCAGTAGCACAAGCCTATAATCCTAGCTACTCAGGAGGCTATAGTATCTGATAATCGGGGTTCGAAGCCTATAAAATCTGATAATCGGGGTTCGAAGCCAGCCTGGGCAGAAACATCTCTCACACACACACACACACACACACGCACACACACACACACACAGAGAAACATCACACACACACACCACCACCACCCAGAAGTAGAGCGGTAGCTCTAGCTAGCCTGGAGTGAAAGAAACTCAAGAACAGATAATCGGGGTTCGAAGCCAGCCTGGGCAGAAACATCACACACACACACACACACACACACACACACACACACACACACACACACACACACACAGAGAGAGAGAGAGAGAGAGAGAGAGAAACATCACACACACACACCACCACCACCCAGAAGTAGAGCGGTAGCTCTAGCTAGCCTGGAGTGAAAGAAACTCAGGAACAGCACCCAGTCCCTCAGTTCAAGCCCCAAGATCAGCACAAAAAAAATTTTTTTTTTCATAATTATTTTGTACTGTTCTTTTTTCTCTTTCTTTCTTTTTTGTCCTGGAGCTTGAACTCAAGGCCTCAGCACTGTTTCTCAGCTTCTTTTGCTCAAGGCCAGCAATCTATCACTGGAGCCACAACCTCATTTCCAGCTTTTTCTGATTATGTAGTTAGTACTGAGGAATCGAATCCATGTCTTTATGCATGGCATGCTAGGCAAGCACTCTACCACTAAGCCATATTCCCAGCCCTCTACTGTTCTTTTCTAAATTGTTATATATTATATTTTGCTAAGTTTGTTCTTAAGGATTTCAGTACAATGCCAGCTAAGAGTCAGTGGCTCATACCTGTAATCCCTAGATGAGATCTGAGGAGCATGGTTCAAAGCTAGCCTGGACAGGAAAGTCCATGAGAATCTTATCCCCAATTAACCACCAACAAGCCAGAAGTGGAACAGTGGCACAAGTGGTAGAGCACCAGCCCCAGTATTGGAATACACACAAACACATACACCAAGTCTGTAGTTAAAGCAACCTAGCCCACCATCAAGTCCCCATCAGCTGACACTCACGTCTTGAAACATCTTATTTTCCTGTTTCAGTCTAGCTTCTTTATCATCAGAGAGTTTGTAAGCATTCTCAAATGCTGCTTCCAAATCCTGCAGTCTAGATTTCAGTCGAAAGATCGTATTGTCTTTTTCTTTACTGCTGGTTCTCATTTCTTCAATTCGCTCCTGCAAAATTTTGGAGGCACTACTGGCTGCACTGAAGCGTTCTCTCAAATCATTCTATGGAATAAGGACAACTATATTATTTGAAATGAAAAAAGATGCCTCAGCAGTTAGGAAATAAGCCAGGCACTAGCGGTTCACACATGTAAACCTAGCTACTCAAGAGGCTGAGATCTAAGGACTGAAGTTCAAAGCCTACCCGGGTAAGAAACTCCAGAGACTCTTATCTCCAATCAGCAACCAGAAATTCGGATGTGGTACTGTGATTCACAGTGGTAGAGCACTAGCCTGTAGTAGAGAAGCTCAGGGATAGCGCACAGGCCCTGAGTTCAAGCCCCATAACTGACACACACACATATTCATAAAAGAAATACAGGGCTGGGAAGGTGGCTCAGTGGTAGAGCGCTGGCCTTGCATGCCTGAGGCCCTGGGTTCGATTCCTCAGCACCACATAAGAAAAAAGAAAAAAGCAAGAAGTGGCGCTGTGGCTCAAGTGGTAGAGCGCTAGCCTTGAGCTGAAGAGCTGAGGGACAGTGCCCAGGCCCAGAATTCAGGCCCCACGACCAGACCCAAAAAAGAAAGAAAGAAATACAAATAGCTATAAATTTAATGTTTGTTTTATTGTAGAATGGAGAGTCCAGAAAGCATTACTCTTTATATTATTTATTTTGGTGCTGGTCCTAGGGCTTGAACTCAGGGCCTGGGTGCTGTCTTTGAGCTTCATTTGCTTAAGGCTAGTGCTCTACCACTTGAGCCACAGCTCTGCTTCCAACTTTTTTTTTGTATTTATTGGAGATAAGAGTCTCAAGGATTTTTCTAGCCCACCCGCCTTTGAACCATAATCTTCAGATCTCAGCTTCCTGAGTAGTTAGGATTATAGGCAGGAGCCACTAATGCCAGGCAGCTACCAACTTTTTGGTAGTTAGAGATAAGTTTTGTGGACCTCCCTGCCCAAGCTCACTTTGAGCCACAATCCTCAGATCTGTCTCCTGAGTAGCTAGGATTACAGGTGTGAGCCACCAAGTGCCCAGCCAAAAAGGATCACTCTTACAGAGTATCTCCATGAAGTTACTACTACAAGGTAAGAGAGAGAGAGAGAGAGAGAGAGAGAGAGAGAGAGAGAGAGAGAGAGAGAGAGTGTACCCAGGACTTAAACTCAGGGACAATGCCCTCTCTTGGCTTTTTTACTCAAGGCTAGAGCTCCTCCACCATTTAAGCCACACCTTCACTTCTAATATTTTTCAGGGTAATTGGGGCTAAGAGTCTTAAGGACTTTTCAGCCCAGACTGGCAAACCTCAATCTTCAGATCTCAGCCTCTTGATAGCTAGGATTAACAGAAGTGAGCCATAAGTGTCCATCTTGGAGCTCCTTTTTGAGGAAAATATTCTGTAATCGATGATGGTGACAGTTACATCACCACATACACTATACACCAAAATAGATACATATTAAAATATACTGAATTGTAAGCCAGGCACTAATAGCTCATGCCTATAATACTAGATACTCAGGAGGCTGAGATCTGAGGATTATGGGTCAAAGCTAGCCTGGGCAGAAAGGTCCAGGAAAAATGTTATCTCTAATTACCATAAAGCTGGTAGTTGCCAAACACTGATGGCTCCCACCTGTAATCCTAGCTACCAGGAAGCTGAGATCTGAAGATTGCAGTTCAAAGCCAGTCAGTGCAGGAAAGTTTAAGATTCTTATCCCCAATTAACTTCCAAACTAAGCTGAAGTGGAGCTGTGGCTCAAGTGGTAGTATTAGCCTTGAGGAAAAATAGCTCAGGCATAGTGCTCAGGCCCTAAGCTCAAGCTCCAGGACTAGTAACACAGACACAGACACAGAGGCACACACACACGCACAAGGCTTTTTAACATTAAACCACAAAAACAATTACCAAAAACAAAACAAAACAAAAAACCCACATACTTACCAGTTCTGTTTCTAGTAAGTTATTCGTATTTTCAAGTGTTCTCACACGACTGGTAGCTTCATTCAAAGCACTATCTAACTGGCCACATCTAAAAACCATACGTTCAGATTAAATTAGAAGGTAATCATTTCCCTTTAAAAGTATTATGTAAACCAAACCGATTCACCACTATGCATTACAAAGTAAATTCTCCAACGCTAAGAATGAAACTTCAGTAAAATAAATTCCCCAAAATATGATGATACTTTCATATCTGGAGAAGAGATCAGGCTAAACTATTAATATGAAAAGCTTCTTAAAAATATTAAGTAGGGAGCTTGGAAGGTGGCTCAGTGCTAGAATGCTTGCTTTGTATGCATGAGGCCCTGGGTTCCATTCCTCAGTAATACATAAGCAGAAAAAGCCAGAAGTGGTGCTGTGGTTCAAGTGGTAGAGCGCTAGCCTTGAGCTCAAGAGCTGAGGGACAGTGTACAGGCCCAGAGTTCAGTTCCCACAACCGACAAAAAAAATTAAAATAAATAAATAAGTAGGGGACTGGAAGACTGGCTGAAATGGTAGAGTGCCTACCTAGCACGCATGAGGCCAAGTTCAAACCCTAGTACTGCAAAAAGTATATATGTATTTAAAATATATATATATATTTATTTATAAAATATGCACTACTTCATGTGCTTTAGCATGTGTGAGACCCTGGGGGTTCAATACAGACAGACAAGAGAGAGGAGAGAGAGAAAGCTGAGAAAAGAAGAAAGAGAAAGAGAAAAAGGGGGGCTGGGAAGGTGGCTCAGTGGTAGAGCGCTTGCCTTGCATGCTCGAGGCCCTGGGTTCGATTCCTCAGCACCACATAAGCAAAAAGAAAAAAGCCGGAAGTGGCGTTGTGGCTCAAGTGGTAGAGCGCTTGCCTTGAGCTGAAGAGCTGAGGGACAGTGCCCAGGCCCAGAGTTCAGGCCCCACGACCGGACCCAAAAAAAAAAAAAGAAGAAGAGAGAAAGAGAGAGAGACTGATTTTGAGATTCTGAAAGGTAGAAAAGGAAGGAAGGAGAAAGAAAAAGGAAGAGGGGAGTGGGAGAGGAGAGAGGAAGGGAAGAGGCATCATGAAAAGTTCTTTCTACCTTCATGTTCATAGCAGTGTATTCACAACACACAACAGGAGGAAGCAACTCAAGTGTCCTTCAATAAATAACTAATACATATACAATATATACACACACATACATTACTTAGAGCTATGGGTTTGGATCAAGTGGTAGAATGCTTATAAGTATGAAGCCCCAATTTCAAAACTCCAATGCCACCAAAAAAATTACTTGGGGGAGGGGGGTACCAGTGGCTCATGCCTGTAATCCTAAGCTACTCAAGGAGCTAAGATCTGGGGATGGCAAGGTGGCTCAGTGGTAAAGCGCTTGCTTTGCATGCATGAGGCCTTGGGTTCGATTCCTCAGCATCTCCTAAGCAGAAAAAGCCAGAAGAGGTGCTGTCGCTCAAGTGATAGAGCACTAGCCTTGAGCTGAAGACAGCTGAAGACAGAGCTCAGGCCCAGAGTTCAGGCCCCACGACCAACAACGACAACAAAAGAAGCTAAGATCTGAGTATCATAGTTCGACACCAATAAATTACTCCAAAAAGCCAGAAGTAGAGCTATGGCTCAAGTGATAAGAGTGCTAGCCTTGAGCAAAATAAAGCTCAGGGACAGTGCCCAGGCCCTGAGTTAAAGCATCAAGGGAAAAAAAAATTACTTAAGCAAATATGTCTGCTAAAATTTCAAATGCAAATACATTTTCAAAGCATTTTACTACCACATATTATACTTATGTGGAAGAAATGCATTCAGTAACTTCATGGTAAAGTTTTACCTGTCTGTAAGAATTTGATTGGTCTTCTTCCACTCTTCAATTGTAGAAAGTTCTTTTGCCTCTAACTTCTGTTTCAAACTATTTATTTCTGATTCATAATAAGCTCGAAGATCAGCTATGTGTCGAGCATGCTTTTCCTTTAGGTTCTGCCTGATCCTGTTGGTAAGAGTAAAACATACAATTACTAGGCCAGCACATCCTCCCCTCCATCCCTAAGAGAAAACAACAGTACAGTCATTCCCGCTGGCAAAAGTACAGCCTTCCTTCTCTGTACACCCACAGAAAAGATAACGGAGGCCCCGTGCATACCATCTTCTATACATACAAGTACCCTAATTAGCTATTACTTACTAGGTACTTTCATATACCTTGTCTAAAACCTAAAAAAAAATGATAATTTTTTTGGGGGGAGGCATTGGTTGTGGGGCTGAAACTGAGGGCCTGAGCACTATCCCTGAGGTTCTTCCCTCCAGGTTTAGTGCTCTACCACTCTGAATCACAGTGTCACTTCTCCACAATCCTCAGATCCCAGCCTCCTGAGTAGCTAGGATTACCAGCCTAAGCCATCAGTGCCTAGCTTGTTATGTAACTTTGAGGCTAATAAAAAAAATCATTTTCATTATTCAATCAGATACCACAGAAAGAGCTAGGAACATTGCAAGCTATTCACTGAAATACATACGTAGACAGCACCACAGGATCGTCCATAGATGTCAAGGAAATGCATTCTGGGACACTGTTGGCTGTACTTGGAAGCTGGGACTGACCGACAGTGTTTTCTTCATCTACAGTGTTGACTGAGATATCATTACTAGTGACAGTATATAAAGAAGGAAATGTGGAACTGGTTCTACTTTCACTCTGGAACACGTTATTTTTCCAAGAGTCCACTGGTGACGCTTTCGTACTTGAAGGATATTTTGGGAATCCTGATAACTGAGAAGTGTCATTACTTCCTTGTGAAAATGAGTCGATGTCAGAGTGACCAGACATACTTGGTTGCAGAACAGAGTCTGGTGAAAAGGATATTCTGTCACCACAAGCATTCAAGAAGCCAGGTGGCTGAGTCCCGGAAAGCTGCTGATCTGGCTTCCTGTGTAATGTTGGGTCCAAAGTCAGGACCTAGAAATAAGACAGACCGCTGTAAACTTTTACCCTCAGTACTTAGGCTGTAGATCTCCAGGAGAAACAGAGCTATGAGAAAGTCAAAGTCATGAGCATCTTGCACTTCCACTAGCAGAATGATGACGTTACCTCAGGTGGATGATTTGGGTTGGAAGCAGAAGTGAGATTCCTCTCAGGTAACTGATTGTTTTCCCTTTGTTTTTTATGATAAATATCCTTCAATGATGGTAGCTTCATCTCATTACTACTTTTAGACTTAAAAGATATGAAACAAAATCATTTAAATGTTGTTATCTATGATAAACTAGCTGATTCAATATCAGCACCACAAAATTTTTTAAAGATCTTAAATAAACTGAAAAGCTAGACTGTCAGATTAATAATACAACTTCTGGAGTTAGAAATGTGACTCAAGTGGTAGAATACTAGCCTTGAGCAAAAGGAGCTTAGAGACACCCAGGCCCTGAGTTCAGGCCCCAGGATTTGCCAAAAAAAAAAAAAAAGTCTCCTAGATTTATACTCCCAAGCTAGCTTCAAACCTCAATCATTAGATCTTAGCCTTCCCAGTAGCTAGGATTATAGTCATGAGCCATTAGTACCCAGCTTCAACATAAAAACTGAGCACCAAGGCTTTCCATACCTTGTTAAAGAAATCCTGGGACTGGGAATTGGCTTAGTGGTAGAGTGCTTATCTAGCATGCATGAAGCCCTGGGTTTGATTCCTCAGTACCATATAAACAGAAAAAGCTGGAAGTGGCGCTGTGGCTCAAGTGTTAAGAGTGCTAGCCATGAGCAAAAGAAGCTCAGGGACAGTGCCCAGGCCCTAAGTTCAAGCCCCCAAACTGGCAAAGAATGGGAACTTCTTCATACAACTACTTAAAGATAATAATAATAATAATAAATATTTTTTAAAAACGAAAGGAAGGAAGGAAGGAAGAAAGAAAGAAAGAAAGATCCTGAAGCCAAGCATGATGGCTAACCCCTATAACCCTAGCGATTTAGGAGGCTGAGAATAAAAGGATCACTGTTGGAAGACAGCCTGAGGAATGAAGTTTACAAGACTATCTCACTAGAAAAAGCTGGACAAGATAGCACATGCTTGCCATCTCAGCTACTGCAGAATAAAATTTTAAAAAGTGGACTGTGATCTAAGTATGAACTATGCCAAAAGCAAAACCTATCTCAAAATAGTCAGTGCAAACAAGGGCTGAAGGTATAACTTAGCAGTAGCAAGAAAAAGGGCAGGTTCAAATCCCAGCACTACTAGAAAATATAAATGTTAAATCACCAATGCTCTTGGTACCTTGGAAGAAGACACAAGGTAAAACTTTATTAAAAGAGAAGTGTAAGTTTCTGTAGGTGACATTTTAGCAATTTTATTTTGCTTTTTTTGTTTTTTTTTTTGGTCAGTCATGGGGCTTGAATTCAGGGCCTGGGTGCGGTCCTTGAGCTCTTTCACTCAAGACCCTCACTCTGTTACTTGAGCCATAGCTCCATTTCCAGTTTTCTGATGGCTAGTTGGAGATAAGATTCTCACAAATTTTCCTTCCCAGGCTGGCTTCAAACCGAAATCCTCAGACCTTAGCTTCCTGAGTAGCTATTTTTTTTTTTTTTGGGGGGTCCAGTCGTGGGGCCTGAACTCTGGGCCTGGGCACTGTCCCTCAGCTCTTTAGCTCAAGGCTAGCGCTTTACCACTTGAGCCACAGTGCCACTTCCGGCTTTTTTCTTTTTGCTTATGTGGTGCTGAGGAATCGAACCCAGGACCTCGAGTATGCCAGGCAAGAGCTCTACCACTGAGCCACCTTCCCAGCCCCCTGAGTAGCTACTGATTACAGATGTGAACGACCAGTGCCCAGCTTGCTTATTTATTTATTTATTTATTGCCAGTTGTGGGGCCTGCACTCTGGGCCTGAGCGCTGTCCCTCAGCTCTTCAGCTCAAGGCTAGTGCTTTTCCACTTGAGCCACAGTACAACTTCGGGCTTTTTCTGCGTATGTGGTGCTGAGGAATTGAACCCAGGGCCTCATGCATGCAAGGCAAGCACTCTACCACTGAGCCATCTTCCCAGCCCCTGCTTTTTATTTTTAATATGTAAAAGTCACATGATAATAATCTTCATTTAAGTCTAAAATCTCCACAAGAATAAAATATATCCAGGTGCCAGTGGCTCAGGCCTGTAATCCTAGCTACTCAGGAGGCTGAGATCTGAGGATCACGGTTTAAAGCCAAACCAAGCCTGGGGAAGGAAAGACCGTGAGACTGTTATCTTCAATAAGCCACTCAGAAAACTGGAAGTGGTGCCGTGGATCAAGTGGTAAGAGATCTCACCTTGAGCTGAAGAGCTGAGGGACAGCTTTCAGGCCCAGAGTTCAAGCCCCATGACAAAAAATAAATAAATAAACAAACAAATAAATAAAATATAAATTCTATGTGAAAAGAAAGTACAATGGTTTAATTCATAAATTTTTAGAAGAATATGAAGTAGGTTGTCTTAAAAGTAATGGTATTGGGGCTAGGAAGGTGGCTCAGTGGTAAAGTGCTTGCCTTGCATGCATGCACCCTGGGTTCGATTCCTTAGTACCACATAAGCAGAAAAAGCTGAAAGTGGCAGGAAAGTCCATAAGACTCTTATCTCCAATAAACTACTCAGAAAAAGCCAGAGGTGGTATTGTAGCTCAAGCAGTGGAGCGCTAGCCTTGAGTACTAAGAAACTCAGGGATGGCACCCAGCCCCCAAGTTCAAGTCCCAGGACCTGCAAAATAATTAATAATTACTGGTATCTTAGATTCAATTAATAGTATTTATTAATATTCAAGACCCAGTAATGAAGTAAGACATGTAACTACAAAGTCTATGAAGAGTCAATCTCTTTCACAATTCCATCACCCTTAAAATCATTATCTCTTGTGTACACATATGCATTTATGCATACATCTACCTAGCTATCTAGCTATCTGTCTGTCTGTCTATACAGATCTGGGGAAGAAAACTGGGCAGAGGGAGGACCCTCACAGATAGTAGGCAATTAATTGCTCTCCCATTGGGAAATATCTCCAGCCCTCTTTTCTCCTTGTGTTCATCCTCTCCTTTGTTTTGTATTAGTTTCTGTTGCTTTCTGGGCCTCTGATGTTTACTAGTAACTGTTGTCCCACAGTCCCATCTGTTCTCATGTCACGCATTTTATATCTTCTCTTTTTTCCCAAATCTACTCATTATCTGATCAAAATACACAAATAGGAAATGTATATCAATATACAAATAACAAAGTTTCATTTCTTTGCTTTGAACCAAATATTTATATTATTATTATTATTATTATTATTGCACAGGTCCTAGGGCTTGTACTCAGGGCGTAGGCATTGTCCCTTAGCTTTTTTACTCAAGGCTAGCTTACCACTTAAGCCATAGTTCCACTTCTGGCTTTTTGATAGTTAATTGAAGATAAGAATCTCATGGCCTTTTTTTGCCTGGGCTAGCTTTGAACTACGATCCTCAGATCTCAACTTGCAGAGTAGCTATAATTACAGGCCACCACTGCCTAGCTTTAATTATACTAAGATCACATAATTCTTCTAAGATCACATAAGGGAAAAATGACAGGTTTTTCTCTGTGTGTGTGTGAAAGAGAGAGAGAGAGAGAGAGAGAGATTAGGGCTTGGCCTCTCTTAGCTTTTCCCGACTCTACCACTTGAGCCTCTCACTCTCAGCTTTTTCCCTTACTCTATCACTTGAGCCATGACTCCATTTTCAGCTTTTTGCTGATTAACTCAGGATTTGTTTGCCAGGCTCTGAACCACTGTCCTCAGATCTCAGCCTTTGGAGTTGCTATGAGTACAGTTATAAGCCACTGGCATGCAGCTAGAGACCACATTTGAAAGGAGGTGAGAATAACTTTAAGCTCATGTTTTTTTTGTTTCCTTTTTTTTTTTTTTTTTTGTCAGTCATGGAGCCTGAACTCTGGGCCTGGGCACTGTCCCTGAACTCCAGCTCAAAGCCAGCACTCTACCACTTGAGCCACAGTGCCACTTCCAGGTTTTTCTGCTTATGTGGTGCTGAGGAATTGAACCCAGGGCCTCATGCATGCAAGGCAAGCACTCTACCACTGAGCCACCTTCCCAGCCCCCTTTGTTTCCTTTTTTTGATTGTGGGGCCTGAACTCTAGGCCTGGGTGCTGTCCCTCAGCTCAAGGCTAATGCTCTACCACTTGGCCACAGTGCCACTTCTGGCTTTTTCTGCTTATGTGGTACTGAGGAATGGAACCCAGGGCCTCATGCATGCTAGTCAAGCACTCTACCACTGAGCCACCTTCCCAGCCCCAAGCTCATGCTTTTTCTAGAGTACTAGAAGTTACAAAACACACTGTATACTACCATATTTAACTACAATTGTAAAACACAAAATATGCACAAGATAACGTACTTTCACAGTGATTACCTGGCCTGGAGAGCTCTCTGCAGAGGAGGAACATGAAAATGCCTTCTGTAAAGCTTCAGGCAAAGAGCAATGCATGTCCTTCTCTTCCAGTTTCCAGTAACTGAGTCCTGATGGGCACCAACATGTTGAACACAAGGGAAAAGAACAAAACCATCCTCAGAATAACTTATTTCCAATAGGAAGGAACTAGTTCTGGCTTAGCTGGTTGTAGCAAGCTGAATTTTATTGGGGAAGTCACATGAATGTTTTACCATGCAAGGAGCCCAACTTAATAATGCAAATACTTAAAAATGATTTTTTTTTTGTCGGTCATGGGGCTTGAACTCTGGACCTGGGCATTGTCCCTCAGCTCCTTAGCTCAAGGCTAGTGCTCTATCACTTGAGCCATTTCGGGTTTTCTGCTGGTTTAGTGGAGGTAAGAGTCTCATGGACTTCCCTGCCAGGCTGGCTTTGAACCATGATCCCAGCCTCCTGAGTAGCTAGGATTATAGGCATGGAGCCACCAACACCCAGCTAAAACTGAAATATTAAAAGCCAAATGAATTAGGTCAGCTTAAAATACATTTTAAAACAAACAATTTCTTTACCACTAATACAGACTTACATAGAATCAGTGTGAAGAGTTCAATAATTCAAGTATCTATTAATTGTGTGCCTGGCTGGGAGGCAGGAGGACTGAGACCTGAACACATGAGGGTGAACAAGTTGCCAAGTACTCTCTGCTTAAACGTTCTCTGCTGCAGCAGAGAGGAAGAGGACAGAGAGGTAATGAGGATCGGCCCACGGGGACTTATGGGCCTGAGGGTCACATGCCATAATTTATCCTTTGTCATGGCTCTGGCTATTGTGCTGAGAACAGACCAGAGGGAGCACGGTGGTGGCAGGGAGGTTGTCACAAAGCAACCAAGTGACACACGAGGGGCTACGTGAAGGTGATGAAAAGAGGTTAGACTCTGGAAATTTCTATAATGCAAAGCTAACTGACACTGATGAGCTGGATGTGAGAAGTGACGAGGGAGGGGCAAGTGGGGGAGAGGAGTCTCTATAAAAAGCCAGAAAAACTAGAATAGCCTCCATGGAGAGCAAAGAATATCTTACAAAGGGTTTCAACTTACTAATTCATTTATAACAATGGAAAAAGGCTAGATGATTTTTGCAAATGTTTGTACAAAATTAATACTTCTGGGGGGGAGGGGAGATGGGAAGGGATGGGAAGGGATGGGAAGGGGAAACAAAGGAGGAGGCAACAAAAAAATAAAAATTTAAAAAATATTAATACTTCTTCCTTCTGTCCTACAGAACTTGTGGCACAAATTAAGGAAGTAAGAAAGTTACAACTCACACCTGAAATCCTAGCTACTCAGGAGGCTGAGATGTAAGGATCACCATTCAAAGCCAGCCTGGGCAGGAAAGTCCATGAGACTCTTATCTCTAATTAACTACCAGAAAAACTGGAAGTGGTACAGTGGCTCAAGTGGTAGAGCACTTGCCTTGAGCTGAAGAACTGAAGGATAGGACCCAGGCCCAGAGTTCAAGCTCCATGACAGACAAAAAAAAAAGAAGAAAGTTATAGCTACCAGAGGAACACCACACACAGTCTATTTACAGAATCTACACCAGTATACATACATATTCTCATTCTGTAGTTACAAAATACAGGAAAAATTTCTAAACATATGTACCCCCCCAAACATACATCTTTAAAAATTTAAGTTTCATACCTGTTCCTGAATCAGACACCCAAGAATTTGGACTTTCATCTGGCTTACTGAGGTAAAAAGAACAAGGATGTGGAGCAGCAGCAAAATCAGACTGCAATTCAAGAAAGAAAATGATTGTCAGCAAACTAAAATCCAAGAGATTCACCCTGCTGACCTAGGAAAGTGCTCTGCCACTAATCTGCTGCCCTAGCTAAAAAGTCTTACCAATTCAGTTTTATCATTATAACTTCAATAAATCACACCAACTCAGAGGACTACAAATCAATAATGTAAATCTTAAGTAGTTGTTTACCTGTCTGGATTTCTATAGCACTTAAGTAACTAGAGTAGTAGAAGTCAAATACTTGCAGGTAAAATATTTAGTCTTGCCACAATTCTAAGAACAAAGTTCAGCGCCCTGGATGGATCCACACTGGGCTCCCTGCACACAGCTTCTGGCTGCACAACAAAGGACAAGCAAGGGAGAAAGCAGAATACAAATAAAAGCAGGAGAGTATGTGGAGGGAGTGACACTGACTAGAATACTGTGTAAACATGTATGGTAATAGAATAATGAAATCTCCCCCTTCATAACTAATAGAAGCTAATCAAATACACAAATAAATGTAAAGCCTTAGAGCCAAAGAAACTAGCCTAACCCTAGCACGAGGGCCTATTATCTTCATAACTGTCTAGTGCCTTGTTTACTAGAAACACCCATGAAATCCTTCAGCCTGTTAAATGAAAGTTTCAGTAGTCCAAGACAAAGGGCCAAGGAAACAAAGCACAATGTGAGCTCTGGAAAACTCTAATGCTAAACAACGCAGTATCAAGATGCACTTAAATAAGACAGCAGGGTACTAAAAAAAAAATTCAATCCAAAGAGAAATTTGAAAAGGATGAAACTGAAAACAATGGGAAAGAAAAATGTTCAAATAAAGGGGAAAGTTCCTACTTTTGTGAAACCAGACTGTGCAGGTAGGAAAAGTGCCACCTCAAGACCATTTCAAGTTCAGAAATAGAAAAGCAACTTGATTTCTCCAAATGACTTAATAACAGGAAAATCATTGCCCTAGAGAAAAAGGAACATTTAAAGGGAGGAAAGACTCAGAGGGAATCATCTCCTGCTCTAAGTTTCCAGGCTGCCCTTCTGGCCTCCAGGTGAAATATGCTGTCAGAAGGCATTTCTCAGCGGACCGCCAGGTGGCAGCAGCTGACAAAATTTGCCACTGCAATGAGAGGCAGAAAGCTGGGACAGAACAGCTGTTTCCAGGTGGATTAACCATCACAATCACCCAGGGAGTTTCTAAAACCCCTCACACACAGATTAGGCCCTCCACCGAAGCAATGAGCCCATCTGGGATGATAGGCAGAGTAAGTATGGTATTAAATCTTCTCAAGTAACTCCAAAATGCAATCAATTTTGGAAACCACTGAACCACTTCAGATAGACAGTTATAAACACAGAAGATAACAAGAATTTACTAAATCTAGTGAGAACACAACCATAAGCCCAATGTAGACATGTCTTAGGGTTGTGGATGTAGCTCATGGCAAAACACATGCTTAAAATGTGAACCAGGCCCTGGGTTCAATGCCCAGCACCAAAAAAAAAAAAAAGGTACAAGCTGGGCATTGGGGCACACGTGTATAATCCTAGCACTTGGAAGACAGATGCCAAAGGATCAAGAGTTCAAGGCTAAGCCAGGCATTGGTAGCTCACTCCTGTAATCCTAGCTATTCAAGAGGTTAAGGTCTGAGGATTTTGGTTCAAAGCCAGTCCAGATAGGAAAAGTCCATGGCAGGAAAGTCCATGAGGCTCTTATCTCCAATGAACCACCAGAAAAATGGAAGTGGCACTGCGGTGTGAAAAATCTCAGGGTCAGCACATAGGCCCTGACTTCAAGCCCCATGATTGGCCAACAAATTTAAAAAAAAAAAAAGGAGTACAAGGCTAGTCTGAGGTCTATAAACAAATCCTGAATTAGAGGGGAGAGGAGAAGGGAGCTTCCAGTCATAAAAATGAAATAAACTACGACGTAGAAGAACATTCTCCATGTAAACCCACTGCAATAAAAGGCAGTTTTTTACCTCAGTCTGCATATTATCATATTAAACAAAGACATTATTGAATGTTTTGGGCAATGCTGAGGTTTGAACTCAGGGCCTCATGTTTGCTAGGGTTAGAGGTATGGCTAAAATGATAAGAGTACCAGCAGAGCAAGCAAACTATGCAACTGTGAGGTCCTGAGTTTAAACTCCAATGGCAGAACAACAACAACAAAAAGCCTTAGAGACATGGAAACAAATTAACGACAATGTAGACATAGGAAACCTGATTGTCAGTAGCCAGTTACCAGGGAAAAAATGATGTATCACCTACTTTCTCAACAGGAGATTTTCTGCTTTGCTCGGGCCCTTGCTTAGATCTTGAGCCTCCATCTTCTACTTGTGTTCTCTTTGGCTGGTTCTGTTTCAGCTTTTGTGCCCATGAGGTTATTGATTTACTAGTCAACAAAAGAAAATCACTTTTTTCTATGCTGTTCTTCACTTCTGAGGGCAAACACAACAAAAGCTGCCTTCATGCAGAAATGCTTTGTTTTTCTCCATAGAACCCTGATAGCTTTCTAGCTGATTTACCTAAATTTTTAAAAGCTTTTTATTACTAAAGGCTAAGTAAACAAAATGACTAACAGTAATTAATACATAGTAGCCACAGAATATATCAAAAGCCACCACTCTGGTCCCCTCAAGTATTAATCTCCACAGTGAGAGAACATTTGTTGGCATGGACTAGTAATGATACTAGTTTTACTATATAGCCAAGTATGTTATTTTTGATGATACATTTCAGAGACATAAAAATAATTTTTAGGGGCTGGGAAGATGGCTCAGTGGTAGAGTGCTTGCCTTGCATGCATGGGGCCCTGGGTTCAATTCTTCAGCACCACATAAGCAGAAAAAGCCAGAAGTGGCTCTGTGGTTGTAGAGAGCTAGCTTTGAGCTGAAGAGCTGAGGGATAGTGCCCAGGCCCAGAGTTCAGGCCCTACGACTGGCAAAAAATAAAGTAACAATAATAGTAATAATAATAATATTTAGAGCTGAGTGCCGGTGGCTCACTCCTATAATCCTAGCTATTGAGAAGGCTGACATCTGAGGATCGAGGTTCAAAGCCAGCCCAGACAGGAAAGTCCCTAAGACTCTTATCTCCAGTAAATCACTCAGAAAACTAGAAGTGGACTGGGAATGTGGCTTAGTGGCAGAGTGCTTGCCTAGCATGCATGAAGCCATGGGTTCAATTCCTCAGTACCACATATACAGAAAAAGCCAGAAGTGGTGGATGGCTCAAGGGGTAGAGCACTAGCCTTGAACAAAAAAAAGAAGCTCAGGATCAGTGCCCAGGCTCTGAGATCAAGCCCCAAGACTAGCAAAAAAAAAAAAAAAAAAAAGCCAAGGGTTTTCAATATCTGGAGCTTGAGAGGCACAACACAGGCCAATGTCTATTTTTGTTTCAAATCACATGAACATTAACAATCCTATACTGTTTTTCTTTTTTGTCGGTCCAGGGGCCTGAACTCTGGATCTGGGCACTGCCCCTCAGCTCTTCAGCTCAAGGCAGTCTAGCGCTTGAGCCAAAGTAGCACTTCTGGCTTTTTCTGCTTATGTGGTACTGAGGAATCGAACCTAGGGCCTCATGCATGGAAGGCAAGCACTTTACCACTGAGCCACCTTCCCAGCCAGAGTGATTTCTGAGTGATTTTTTTTTTGTTGGTTGTGGGTCTTGAACTCAGGGCCTAGGCACTGACCTTGAGCTCTGTTTAATAGCAAAACTGATTGTAATGAAAAAAAACTGAGTGATTTAAGTGGCAAAACTGATACATGTTCAAATACATCTCATTCTAATGAAGCCCAATGAAAAAGAACTTTGTTTACTAGATTCTAAATATAACAAGCCAACTCCCTTCAAATGATCAGTGCAATTCTACTTACTTGTTTGTTTTTCTACTGTATACTTCAGAAATCTTATTTTCACCAAGAAAATTATGTTCAAATTCACCAAGAAATGTAGAATCATCTTTCTTTAAAGATGCACTAAACTCTTCAGGGGTCTGAGTGTAAAAAGTCCTGTTTCCTGCACCACCTCCAGGTGACTCTGTTTGTACAACAGGTGTTCCATATTGGCCCTGAGAAGCACTCCTGTGCTCCATGAGTTCCGTGGGGCCTTTAGATTTGTAGGTATTCAATTCTGAGACACAAAAGGTGCCATACCCGCTGCTCACAGAGCTACTGTCCGCACTGGAGTCTGGTTGCGCCATGCAAGCTTCCTGCTGCAGCTCAGGTTCCTTGGGCTCAGGGTAACTAATAACAGACTCATCTCTCTCACTGTTTTCAGAGACAAAACCCATCTGACCTTCCGAGGATACTTGTTTGCTAGAAGAATTTCTCTTGCAGGAAGCCCAGGAAACATTACTGGTCTGTAACTTGACTAAATTTCTTATTTCCTCCTGTATTCTCTGGGAACAAAATGTATAAATTTGGGTAAGAGAGTATATTAAGCAGCACATGTTTATAAATACTAGGAAATTAGCATTTTTAAGATATGATGTGCCTCTAAATATGACACTTCATCTTTTAGTTTATAAATAAAATAATGAATTAGTTTTCTGAAAATCTTACAAATAAATCAATATAAATGACAACTTACTTGAATTTGGTTGTGGAATTGTTCCTGCTGAGCAACTATCTGTTCCTGGCATTGCTTTTCCACCAAACGGAACAACTGTAACCACCTAGTCTATGAAATTATAAAATATCTTAGTTAAAAATGAGTAACCCAGTAGTTCATAGAAAAATCCACCAGTGAGAAACAGACTTTTTCCCTAATTTCTCCTGTATTCTCAACTTTCTCTGATCCACTGATCATTAAAGAATTATCTTTTGGAATTTTTGTTGTTTTTTTTTTTTTTTTTGGGGGGGGGTCTGGTCGTGGGGCCTGAACTCTGGGCCTGGGCACTGTCCCTCAGCTCTTCAGCTCAAGGCTAGCACTCTACCACTTGAGCCACAGCACCACTTCCAGCTTTTTTCTTTTTGCTTATGTGGTGCTGAGGAATCGAACCCAGGGCCTCAGGCATGCAAGGCAAGCGCTCTACCACTGAGCCACCTTCCCAGCCCCTCTTTTGGAATTTTTTTGAAGGGGTAGTTTTCTTTAAAGAAAGTGCTATCTACCATATGAGCCACACTTCCACCCCTAGAGAAATAGCCTTTAAGGAAAAAAACTTTCAAGGGCTGTCTGAAAAGATACAGTAGGGCTGGGAAGGTGGCTCAGTGGTAGAGCGCTTGCCTTGTATGCATGAGACCCTGGGTTCGATTCCTCAGCACCACATAAGCAGGAAAAAAAAAACCGGAAGTGGCGCTGTGGCTCAAGTGATAGCGCACTAGCCTTGAGCTGAAGAGCTGAGGGACAGTGCCCAGGCCCAGAGTTCAGGCCCCGTGACCAGACCCTCCCCCCCCCAAAAAAAAACGATAAAGTACTAGAGCACTTGTAGAGTAAGTCAGCTCAAACCCTAGCACTTCTAAAAAAGAAAAGTAGTATAAACCAAATTAAAGTTACATATAATTTAGTTGCAGGTGTGGCTCAAGTAATAAAGTATTTGCCTAGCAAGCTCAAGACCCTGATTCAAACCCTAGTAATATCAAAAATAATAAAATACATAATTAATGTGAAAATGCAAGAATATAAGCTTAACCTTCTTATGTAACCTATAGTCTACTCTGGGTGAAGCTAAAGGTTCCAGTAAATCTTATTTTTCAAATAGCATCTTTACTTTGTATGCCCACTCTTTTTCTTTTTCTTTTCTTTCTTTTTCTTCTTGTCAGTCAAAGGGCTTGCCTGGGTACTGTCCCTGAGCTTTTATGCTTTTAAGGTTAGTGCTGTATCAATTTGAACCATAGCTCCACTTCCGGTTTTCTGGTGGTTAATTAGAGATAACTCTCTTGAACTTTCCTACCCTGGCTGACTTAGAACTCAGATCTCAACTTCTTGAGTAGTTAGGATTACAAGCATGAGCCACTGGTGCCGGCTTTTTTCTTTTTGCTTATGTTGTGCTGAGGAATCGAACCCAGGGCCTCATGCATGCAAAGCAAGCACTCTACCACTGAGCCACCTTCCCATCCCCCAAAAATACTTTTGATCACCTTTTTCAAATTTGTTTAACGTTATTCACCCAATTAATAGGCTTGACCCTGTGTACCTTTATAATAACAATTAATAGGCTTGACCCTCTGTACCTTTATAATAACAAATTTTTTAGAATGAGTATATATACTTAAAAGCTGAATCCACTTGAGCACCTAACAGTCAGTCTGGAAAGAAATTTCTTTCTTTTTTTTTTTTTTTGATCGGTTGTGGGGTTTGAACTCTGAGCCTGGGCGCTGCCCCTCAGCTCTTCAACTCAAGGCTAGTGCTCTACCACATGAACCACAGTGCCACTTCCGGCTTTTTCTGTTTATGTGGTGCTGAGGAATTGAACCCAGAGCCTCATACATGCAAGGCAAGCATTCTACCACTGAGCCACCTTCCCAGCCCCTGGAAAGAAATTTCTAATAATTTAGTGCTCAGTAGAAATACACTTGTCCACAAAACAAAATGAAATAAAATACCTCACAGTTTTTCCAAAGTTCTGAATCAGTCTTCCCACTGCTCTGTAGCTCTTGCATCAAAGAGGTTAGGATGTCGGTTGCCCCTTGAATGACAGACAGTCTAGTCTTCCCTGAGAAAGAGGATACCCCATTTGTACTAAGGTGGGGATTACTTCTGTTGAAACATAAATAATTCAAAGGGTTTTCTTCATTCTTCTAAAGTGTTGAATAATTCAGTAGGTCAGGATTTAGTAGAGCAGTACAAAACCACTGACATTTAATCCTTCTAATGACACCTCATTTGTTGACAATCTGATTGGTTTGTACAGAAAAGAAAAACAATAAAATGACAGGCAGCATTACTTAAAAAAAAAAAACACAACAGAAAAGCCCTTCTGCAGAAGTGAGAGAACACTCCACAGAGTATCAGCAGAAAATAAGTTGTGATAAAGAAGAAAATTTTTCAGCTTCTCTGCTCTGAATTCTTCTAGAGGTTCATTTTGGCCCACTTTAGGAACAGCCCTCCATTGTGTGGGGAAATTCTCTCCACTGCCAGGTTTACAGTCAAGTCTTGTTCACTGGCTCCCTCTAATTTGCCGATGAGCTGATGCTTATCGCTCTGCACTATCTTTGAATGAAAGTTACGCCCAGCAAATTAGCAGCAAAGATTCAGGATTTACTTGGCCTACTTAGTTGTAAAATGACACTGTTTCTTTCTAGCAGACTGCTTTACCAAACAAGTTTATTTCAGATTTGTTGTATAAACATACAAAAGGTATAACTCAAATTATTAAGATTCACTTAAATCGAACCACTGAAAGTGAACTCCAGAAGGGCCAACAAGGGCCAGAAACAAAATGTGGGGCCCACGTTGAATGAGTGTGTATAGGTCTCAGATGTCCTTGGACTATATTTCTTAAATTTTCCCTTCACTCTACATTGTACAGCCTTGTTTTTTCTTTTTCTTTTTTTCAGTCCTGGAGACTGAACCTAGGGTTTTGAGAGTGAAAAAAGTGCTATACCACCACTTGAACCACAGCTCCCAGCCTTTGGATTTTATCAGGTTTTTCAGACCCTAACTGACCTCAAACTCTTGATACTCCTAATCCAGTTTCCCAGTTAGCTGGGATTACAGGCATGAGCCATCTCTCTTAGCTGTTTTAAATTCCTGAGGGGAAGGCTAAGAATGAACAATTTCTAGTTTTATTCATGTGATGGTCCTGGGCTTTGAACTCAGGGCTTAGGCTCTGTCTCTGACCTTTTTGGTCAAAGCTAGTACTCTAGCACTTGGGCCACAGTTCCACTTCCAATTTTTCTGGTAGTTTATTAGAGATAAGAGTCTCCAAAGCCAGACGCAGGTGGCTCATGCCTGTCTGTAATCCTAGCTACTCAGGAGGCTTAGGATTGCAGTTGGAAGCCAGTTCCAGCAGAAAAGTCCCCATGACACACTTTTCTGTTTTTGGTTGGCCATGGGGCTTGAACTCAGGGCCTGAGCTCTGTCACTGAGCTTTTTAGTACAAGGCTAGTGCTCTACCACTTGAGCCACAATACCACTTCTGTTTTTTTCTGGTGATTACTTGGAGAGAAAAGTCTTGTGGACTTTCTTGCCCAGGCTGGCTTTGAACTGCCATCCTCAAATCTTGGCCCCACTAAGTAGCTAGGATTACAGGCACCCAGCTAATTTTTTTTTTTTTTTTGGGTGGTCATGGGGCTTAACTCTGGGCTTGGGTGCTGTCCTTGAGCTCTTCAGCTCAAGGCAAGCGCTCTACTGCTTGAGCTACAGCACCACTTCTGGTTTTCGAGTGGTTTATTGGAGAGAAGAGTCTCATGGACTTTCCTGCCTGGGCTGGCTTTGAATTGTGATCCTCAGATCTCAGCCTCCTGAGTAGCTAGGATTATAGGCGTGAGCACCAGCACTTGGCTTTTTTTTTTTTTTTTTAATGTGGAACATTTCACCAATTTATTTGTCACCTTTGTGTAGGAGCCATACAAATCTCTGTATCCTTTCGATTACAGTTAATGTGCTACTAAAGCACGCATATGAACATTATTTTATGACTAGGGATTTAGCTCAGTGATAAAATAGATACAAGTTCTTGAGTCTATTCCCAATAGTTCCAAACAGAACAGAAAAACAACACCCAACTACAGGACGCCTTAAAACTAACATGCAGGGGCTGGGAAGGTGGCTCAGTGGTAGAGCGCCTGCCTTGCATGCATGAGGCTCTGGGTTTAATTCCTCAGCACCACATAAGCAGAAAAAGCTGGAAGTGGCGCTGTGGCTCAAGTGGTAGAGTGCTCGCCTTGAGCTGAAGAGCCCAGGGACAGCACCCAAGACCAGAGTCCAAACCCCTCAACCAAAAAAAAAAAAAAGTACATGGCTCTGTGAGAAATAAAAGATGTAGAAGAACTTAAACTGTTCTCAACTTTAAAATTTAACTGTCCTTGAAAAGTTCCTGATCATAGTTGTCTTGATTTTAAACAAACTCAAATCAGCAACTACGACACTATTTGGATAAATGGACAAACTAGGAAATGAAGTTTACTGGGTTTGTTGTTACATTAACGAAGCAATCTACCCCCATTCTTACCTATTAGTATTTAAGCTCAGTCCAAGAGAATGGGGAGAACTTTTTATATCATAGTCTACAGAAGGTGAAGTTCTGTAAAGTTTTCACCAAATCAAAATCCTCCATATTGTACAGAAACTGTTATATGCTCTTATTTGAAAATATACAGTTTTTTACTGTGTGAGAAAACTGACCCAAGTCATCTTCAGATATTTCATCTACCAGCATTTCAGTTGCTAACATTCAGAACTGTGAAATGTCCTACATTTCCAAGAGTCTGAAAATGAATGAGGAAAAAAATACTACTATAAAAAGCCACTAAACTTAGCAACTCTGTTTTTATGTCTTTGAAACCTTCACTTCTTTTATATAAATCTACAGTAGGGATACTAACTTTACTCACAAAACCCAAAATGTAGAAACAACCTTAATGCCCATGAATGGGCAAACTGGTCCATGGTACATCCATGTAGAATATTATTCAGCCACAGAAGGAAGGAGCTGCACCTGGATAAACACTGAAAATACCATGCTAAGGAAATTAAACCCATCCAAAGAAACAGAAAGGAGATTAATGTTTGCCAGCTGCTGGGAAGGGAGAAAACAGCAGTAAGCAGAAAATGCAATGAGCACAGTGTTTCATTTTGGATGATGAAAAATTCTAGAATTAGATAGAACTTGTAAACCCTAAGGTTACTTTGAAAAGGGTGATTTCTTGGTATCTATTTTTAGTATCTCCACAAAAATCTCTATTATAGATGATCTTTAAGGGCTGGGAAGGTGGCTCAGTGGTAGAGAGCTTGCCCTGAATACCTGAGCCCCTGGGTTCGATTCCTCAGCACCACATAAGCAAAAAGAAAAAAGCCAGAAGTGGTGCTGTGGCTCAAGTGGTAGAGCGCTAGCCTTAAGCTGAAGAGCTGAGGGACAGCACCCAGACCCAGAGTTCAGGCACCACGACTGGACCAAAAAAAAAAAAAGATCTATAGATGATCTGTAAAAACAGCAGCTCCCCTCTCAGCTCACAGTCAGAATTTTATGTATTTAATAATCAAGGTTCTACATACAATTCTCTTACATAATAATTGGCTTACATACTTTATTCATTTATTTACTAAATTCTTCCAAGCATATGTACATGTTGATTTGCACAATGACTAGAATAACTTCATCTGCTATTACAAAGAGCTATTTTAAACTGTTAACATATTGTCATACACATATACCTCATGGCTACAAGCACATTTGTACTGCATAGCCTTTTTTTTTTTTTTTTTTGGTCAGTCCTGGGGCTTGAACCCAGGGCTTGGGCATTGTCTTTGAGCCTCTCTGTGCTCAAGGCAAGTGCTCTACCACTTGGGCCACAGCGCTACTTCCAGGTTTTTCTGTGTATATGGTACTAAGGAATTGAACTCAGGGCTTCATGCATGCTAGCCAGACACTCTACCACTAAGCCACATTCCTTTTTTTTGGGTCCGGTTGTGGGGCCTAAACTCTGGGCCTGGGCGCTGTCCCTCAGCTCTTCAGCTCAAGGCTAGCGCTCTACCACTTGAGCCACAGCGCCACTTCCAGCTTTTTTTTTTTCTGCTTATGTGGTGCTGGGAGGCCTCATGCATGCAAGGCAAGTGCTCTACCACTGAGCCACCTTGCCAGCCCCTGTATAACCTTTTATACTGTGCTTATATGCTTTGAGTTTGTTGTTGTTGGCAGTTCCAGGGTTTGAACTCAGGACCTCTCCCACTTGGCTAGGCAGGCGGTCTACTGCTATTCAGGCTTCCTGGTGGCTAGGATGATAAAATACACATCACTGCACTCAGCTTCTTTTTTAGCTCAAGGCTAGCACTCTACCACTTGAGCCACAGCGCCACTTCCAGCTTTTTTCTTTTTGCTTATGTGGTGCTGAGGAATCAAACCCAGAACCTCATGCATGCAAGGCCAGCGCTCTACCACTGAGCCACCTTCCCAGCCTGTGCACTCAGCTTTTTATTGAGATGAGGTCTTATGAACTTTTTACCTAAGTTGAACTGAAACTCTTATCCTCCCAATCTCGACCTACCAAGCAGCTAGGGTTACATGTGTGAGCCACCACACCCATATGTGCATGCTTACTTCTTGAAAAACTAAGTATTTTCCAGCCCAACTAAAACGTTACTGAATTGTGTATGCAGAGATAACTTGAGTAAATTCCCTCTTAAGGAATTCATGCATTTAAAAAAGATGCTGGTGGGGCATACCTGTAACCCAGTGCAAGAGGCAAAAGCAGGAAGATAGTGAGTTCAGTGCCAACCTCAACTACATATAAGACCCTGTCTCAAAATATTGAAGAGAGAGGAGACAAAGGAAGGAAGGAAGGAAGGAAGGAAGGAAGGAAGGAAGGAAGGAAGGAAGGAAGGAAGGAAGGAAGGAAGGAAGGGAGGGAGGGAGGGAGGGAGGGGAAGGGAAGGGAGGGAGGGAGGGCAGGGAAGGAAGGGAGGGAGAGAGGGAGGGAGGGAGGGAGGGAGGGAGGGAACCTACACCCCATATTGCTTATAAAGTAAACCATTTAGGGTTTAATAAAATTACCTTTTATTCTGGCTTCTCTAGATTCACAATATTTAGGATCTAGTTTTATAAAACACTGCAGGGCAGGGAGACAAAGAAGGGGAAAAAAGAGATCACAGAGAAAAAAAAAAGAAAAAGAAAAAAAATCAGATCAAGGAAGCACTTCCTTTAGAGACAGGTACAGAAAGTTAAGGGAAACCTGATGGTTTTCAAGAAGTAACTAAATGGGTCTCTTCCCAGAAGCTCCATGACAAATGGGTATGAGAGTCAGAGCTGCCCTGTCCACTAGCAACGAGCACACTTTGATTCCATTCACCCTGCTCTTAGCCCCCGGAAACCCACGTTCTCCAGGGACACCTCTCCAGAGGTAAGCCGGATGAAGCAATTCCCAATGGAAAAACCACTAGAAATTCAATGATGCCTCTCTGGGCCGGAGGGGGTGCAAGAAAGGAAGGCGAGCAGAGGGGGGAGAGGGGAAGAAAAAAGGAAAGTAAAGACTCTGATACAAGAAGTAAAATCTGAAAAGTTAATGGGCTTAATTCCTCAACCAAAAGACATAGAGTAGCAGATGTAATAAAAAATAAAAATAAAAAAATACGGGCTGGGAAGGTGGCTCAATGGTAGAGTGCTTGCCTAGCATGCATGAAAACCTGGGTTCCATTCCTCAGTAACACATACACAGAAAAAGCTGGAAGTGGCGCTGTGTCTCAAGTGGTAGAGTGGCAGCCTTGAGCAAAAGGAGCTCAGGGACAGCACCCAGGCCCTGAGTTCAAGCCCCAGGACTGGAAAACAAAACAAAACAAAAAAAAACAACCTACTCAAGAAATCAACCCCACCCAAAGCTAAAATTAAAAAAAAAAAAAAAAAAATCACTAAATGGGCAAAGGAGGTAAGGAGAGACTTCTCAGAAAAAGTAAGAATGGAAAAGAAACACTTGAGGAAATGCCCACCCTTCCTGGCCATAAAGGAACTGCAAATCAAAACAACTTTAAATTCCATCTCACCCTAGTTAGGTTGTCTAACATCATGAATTCCAACAACAAATGTAGGCAGGAATGTGGAGAAAAAGGAGCTCTACTGCTCTGTGGGTGGGAATGTAAACTAATACAATTACTCTGGGCAGCCTTCTGGAGGTTGCTCAAAAAAACGAAACATAGATCTTCCCTACAACCCACCCATACCACTCCTGGGTATCTACCCAGAACATCATGAGCCAAGATACAGTAAAAACACTTGCACATCCATGTTCAGGGCCGCACTATTTACTATAGCCAAGTTGTGGAAACAGTCCCGATGCTCTACTGTAGATGAGTGGATCCAAAAATGTGGTACCTATACACAATGGAACTTCATACAGCCATTAGAAAGAATAATATTATATCATTTTCAGGAAAGTGGATAGACCTAGAACAAATCACGTTAAGTGAGATAAGCCAAGCTCAGAGAGACCAATTCCTAGGTGGAAGCTAGTTCTAAAATACACCAGGACATGATAAGTTACAAAAAACTCTAGGTATTCACACATAGTGAGACAATGGAGAATATTCTTAGGAAAGGAATACAAAGGTGCAATGCCTACGTACAGCTCATCACATAAAATATTATTTATCGAAATGAACTCTAGGAAATGGAAATGAGTTTTTTTTCCTTTGTCGCTGTTTATTTATTTTCTTTGTCTCCTTTGTTCGTTTACCTGTCTTTGGGAGAGAAGGAGGGCACAGAAATGGAGCAACAAAGGGTGAACAAATGCAGCAGTGGTACCCACTAGACACTACGTTGAAAGTTAACTATACAACTTGTGGGTGGAGATTGGAGGGAAAAACTGGGAGAGAGACTAGGGGAGGGGGTGACACTATTCCAAAAAGAAATGTACTCCTTTCCTGACTTATGTAACTGTAACCCCTCTGTACATCACCTTTAGAATAACAATAATTTTAAAAAGAAGCCCTGAAAGGTTGACAGCCTCATCAGGGAATGACTGGAGAACAGACAGGGCGTCTTCCCGGCCACAAGGCCTGGCTGCCGAACCCTCCCACCACTCCTCGCAGACTGGGAGCTGGGGGCCGGGAAGCACTAATAAATGCAAGTTACCTAGGCGCCCTCTTGAGGGCGGGCGGGCTGATTCCCAGCGTGGGAGCCGGACCCAGACTCCGGTGGCGGCCGCGGGGTCCACGGGCCGGAGAGGCGCCCGGGCAGCGGCCGGGGCGAGAAGACCCAGAGAGGACCTAGGAAAGCCACCGTCAGACGTCTTCCCCAAACAGCAAAACCAAAAGGCCCGCCAGCGCCGCCGCGCCGTCCCGGCCGTCGGGGGCCGCTCCGCGCCGGGGCCGCGCGGGTGTCACTCAGGAGAACCAGGTAGAGAGGGCGCTCGCCGGGCGCAGAGCCCCCGCACGCCGGCGGGCTGCGGTGGGGAGGCTCGGCGCCCGCTGCCTGCCTCCGGCCACGCCAGACCACCACCCAGGAGGCCGCCAGGACCTCGCCAGGTGGAGCTCGTCCCCGCAACCTCGCAGCCCGCAGCTCCCCGCAGGCCAGGCCCCCTTACCGTGCCCGCTGGCTCCGCAGCCGGTGTTCAGCCTAGCCACCACCCTCTCGCGACCGTTAAACTCAAGGGAGCAAGCACGCGCCCGGCGTCTCGCCCGCGGATTGGCTGTTCCTCAGAGGGAGGCGGAGAGCATCGAGCACGACGTGCGCGCTGACCTCCCGCTTCCCTGGCGCGCAGCTCACGCCGGAGGAAAGCCTGCCTGACGGCAAGGGGGCGTGAACTGGGCGGGGACCGGGGCGGCGGTCAAATCTTCCATTCTGATTGGCTCCCTGGGAACCTACTCTCACCACGTGAAAGCACCGCCCAGCTTGTCGCATGCGCAGTTAGTGAGACCGAGTCTCGAGCTGGTGAGGGAAAGCGTTCTTGCCAGTAGTGCGCGTGCGCAGACCGAGGAGCGCTGTGGCGAGTCCCGGGTCCGCGGAGTTCGGGTTCTCCCCGCGTGTTTCGGGCGGGAGGCCAGGTAAGGTTTGCGGAGGCCTCGCACGACTGGCACGGGAGAGAGGTCCCGGAGCTAGGACGCCAGAGTTCCCTGCTAGCGACCCTGAGCCGTGCAACCAGTTTATCGTGAGGCCTCCTGGCGGGGAGGAGCCGGACCTGACCTCTAAGCCTTCCCCGGACTCAGTTTACCCTGAGGGGGCGGGAGGGGCGTGCGTGCCCTGTGGACGGGGGATGCGGGCGGGGGCGGGGGGCAGAGGAGAGGTCGTTGCCCAGCATGGCTGCTCGGCGTGGCGAGGTTGTGGAGCGGCGCCGGGGGCGGCTCCGGCCTTGCAGCCCCCGCGGTTTTAGGCCTCGCACGGAGTGGGCGCCCGCACTGCCCTCGCGGGGCCTGCGTCCTGCCGTGCGGAGCCCGGCCCGGCCCGGCCCGCCGTCTTCAGCCCTCAGCCCGGCTAAGGTCCTTCCAGCCTGGTTTCCTCCCCAGTGCCCAGGCCTGAGCCACACCTGGTTACTGGCGTTTCACAGACGGTGCCACGGCTGGCGCTGACAGGACCATGCGGGGACCGTGTTTGCCCCTGGAGTTCTCAGTCCGCCGGGGAGGCCTTCCATCTCGGCGCAGCCCCACAACACCTACCAGGTTTTCATTCCACGGTGCACCTTCCGTCCCCACCCAAACCCCGCACCCTCAAGGTTAAATAAATAGCCCCCCCCCCACCACGTATAAACCACAACCGCGTGGCACCGAACCAGAATCAAACACACAGCCTTCTTCAAGTCCCCCGCAAAAAGAGAGGCAATTTTATTACTCATTGCAGTTGGTCACAAAGTCTATTAGAGACCCTGAACTCACAGAAGATCTGATACAGTACCAGGAAGAAATGTGCTTCTTCACCAGGTAAAAAGTTTAATCCCGAAGGCTAGTGCTAGTGACCACTTACTAAGTACAAGACACATGTTTAGGCTATGTTACTTTGGGGGAGTGTATGTTTTTGAGTATATGTTTTTGGCAGTGGGATTTTAGGCAGTTCGTAGGTCATTTTCTTTTTAATCCATTAATATTTTAGAAGCCAGCACACTCAGGAACTAGCTTTCTGATCAACTCACCTCATGAGCTGATGCAGTGGTATCTTCAGGTAGGGCTGTCTATAACTTTTTTTTTTCTTTTGTCAGTCGTGGGGCCTGAACTCTGGGCCTGGGCGCTGTCCCTCAGCTCTTCAATTCAGGCTAGCACTCTACCACTTGAGCCACAGCGCTATTCTGGCTTTTTCTGTTTATGTGGTGCAGAGGAATCGAACCCAGAGCCTCATGCATGCAAGGCAAGCACTCTACCACTGAGCCACCTTCCTAGCCCTACACCATATTTCTTATATTAGGTTTAGCTCTTTGGAGGGTTTTTGTTTTTGCACCTTCTTAATGGATTTCATCATGACATTTTTCATGAACATGTACATAATGTACTCCTCCCCCATTTTAGTAAAGCCTTTTACAAAACTATTATAAACAAGCTAAAAATTGTAAAATCCTAACACATTTCTAAGTACAGAAAACAGAAATAGAACACTTCAGAAATTCAAGTAAATGTGTTTATAAAGTATAACTATTCATCTAAGGAACCCTACCCCTACCCCATACTCTACCTGTAAGCAAGCTGTTGCTATTTTATGACTTTTTAAATGGACTCTGCTGACCATGGTTGTGTTTATGTGAGCCTGGAGAAAAGTCAGGCTTGTGTTTCAGGATCATCATAATCTCCTTGGCATCTGATTTCATAGGCCAGAATTATGACCTCACCAAATAGCATGTCTTTGGCAATCCTGGATTCCATGTACTTCTTAAATTGGACCATCCCAAGTAGAATCGTTTGCAGATCATTGTGTTAGCTGCTGTTTACTTTCACCTCTGCAAAGCCCTGAGATTTTTGTTTATCCACTGAGTTTACATCGTAATACTACAATTCTAAGTCATAGGCTAGGCTCCTTGACTTTGTCGTTTAGGGAGCTGAAGTGCTTTCCATTTGTGACATCATGTAAGATTCAGTTCATACCCAAGGCAGTATCTTCATTTTACAAATGAAATATGGCCAAGATTGCACAGTAAACTAAATCACAGCATTGAAACATTGAATACAGGACATGGTGACTACAAAGCTTGCATTTGCCCAGGCATGGTCGTTCAGGATAGAAGGAAAAAAAAAAAAGCCAAGTGTGGTGGCTGTAATCCCAGTTATTTAAGAGGCAAAAATTGGGAGGATTAGTTTGAGGTCAGCTGAGTTAAAAAGTATAGATCCACCATCTTAACCAACAAGCCAGGTGTGGCCTGTGCCTATTTTATCCCAGTTGTACAGGAGATATTGGTGGCAGAATCTTGGACTAAGGCCAGACCTGGGCAAAAGAAATGCAAGAAACCTAACTAAAGATTTTTTTTAATTTTTATTAATTTTTCTTTGGTCAGTCATGAGGCTTGGACTCTGGACCTGGGAGCTGTCCCTGAGCTTTTTGCTCAAGATTAGCACTCTACCACTTTGAGCCACAGTGCCACTTCCGGTGTCCTAGTGGTTAGTAGGAGACAAGAGTCTCATGGACTTTCCTGCCTGGGCTGGCTTTGAACAGCAATTCTCAAATCTCAGCCTCCAGAGTAGCTAGGATAACAGTCATGAGCCACTGGTGCCCGGCTACTTATTTATTTTTTAAGGCTCACCATGGCTCAACTGATAGAGTACTTGTTTAGCAAGCAAAGGGCCCTGAGTGCAAACCCCAGTACTGCCCAAAAGAAAGGAAAAAAAAAGCCTCAAACTCACATTCTTTTTCTTTTTTTTTTTTTTTTCCACATTCTTTTTCAAACAAAGAGCCAAAAAGAGTTAAGGAAAATGAACTAATTTTTTTTTAAGGAACTTGGAAAAAACAGATCTGGAGATGTAGCAAAACAAACTGTGGGAGAGATAAACAATTTCAAAGATTGAACTGCCAATGTTTTTCCAAGATAAATGTATCATAATTTTTTTAACTTCTATCAAATACAATAATTGGTGTTTTGTGTAAATCCTAAATAGTTTGGAACAAGGTATTATTACTGGTAATACAGGCTTGGAGATTTTAGAGAAAATGTGGTGTGATTGCTATGTCTATCTTATTTTAATATTGCAGTTGATAAGGTTCTTGTGCCATGCCACAAATAGAAGAAAGTCACAGTGGTGCACATAAATAGGACAGGTGTGATCTCTGGATTAGAAGTTCTGTCTTTTAAAAAAGATGAATGGGCCAGGCACCGGTGGCTCACGCCAGTAATCCTAGCTACTCAGGAGGCTGAGATCTGAGGATCTCGGTTCGAAGCCAACCTGGGCAAGAAAGTCTGTGAGACTTATCTAGAGAACTGGAAGTGGCACTGTGGCCCAAGTGGTAGAGCACTTGCCTTTAGCTGAAGAGCTGAAGAATAGTGCCTAGGCCCTGAGTTCAAGCCCCACGACTGACCAAAAAAAATAATAAGATGAATGAGATGTCGGTGTTGTATGATTGGATGCTTTTCTCTTGGTGAACTCAGGTGTTTCTTTGAACTGAGCAGCAATGTGCCTATTAAAATCAGACCTGACTCGGGGCAGCACTGCAGATCAGAGCTAACTGCTCTGCATTTCCATGTTAGAGAAGTCACTGCTGTGAACATGAACTGTAGGTCAGAGCTGCTTTACCGTGTGTGTGTGTGTGTGTGTGTGTGTGTGTGTCACTGCTGTGAACATGAACTGTAGGTCAGAGCTGCTTTACCGTGTGTGTGTGTGTGTGTGTGTGTGTGTGTGTGTGTGTGTGTGTGTGTGTGTGTGTGTGTGTCCCAAGCCTAGGGAAGAATATTGTCTGTTTGCAGCCTCCCCGGGGTCCTCCTGTGGGCCCCACTGGACAGCTGTGTGGGCCCAAAAGGAATTGCAGGCCTGGGAATGGAACCGGGTAAGAGGCTGCATGTGAGTGGTTGGGAAAGGCAACTCGGTAACCCAAACACTTGGAGGGAACACCACAACACTTGAAGGCCTGGCAGTGTCGCTCAGAAGTCCTGCACCTGCAGAGCATACTCAAGGCTCTGGGTTCAATCCACATCACTGCAAAACTGAAAATAAAGGGCTGGGAATGTGGGCGTGCTTGCCTAGCATGCATGAAGCCCTGGGTTCCATTCCTCAGTACCACATACTCAGAAAAAGCTGGAAGTGGTGCTGAGGCTCAAATGGTAGAGCACTAGCCTTGAGCAAAAGAAGCTCAGGGACAGTACCCAGGCCCTGAGTTCAAGCCTCAGGACAAGGAGGGAGGGAGGGAGGGAAAGGGCACCACACTTTTGGAGCCAGGTGTGGTGGTATGTGCCTGTATCACCAACACTAGGAACTGGAGCAGGAGGACTTAAGAGTTCAAGTCCAGCTTGGACTGCTTAGTAGAACCTTGTGTCCAAGAAAGCACCACACATTTTTGTTTTCCATTTTTGGAAGTGCTGGGGTTTGAACTCAGCCTTGCATTTGGGGTCCGGTCATGGGGCCTGGACTCTGGGCCTGGGCGCTGTCCCTCAGCTCTTCAGCTCAAGGCTAGCGCTCTACCACTTGAGCCACAGCGCCACTTCCGGCTTTTTTCTTTTTGCTTATGTGGTGCTGGGGAATCGAACCCAGGGCCTCATGCATGCAAGGCAAGCACTCTACCACTGAGCCACCTTCCCATCCCTCCTTAACCGTTTTCTGATCATTGTGATTCAGACCTGTGGGCTCCCCTCCTCATTGAATTCCGGGGAGATGACACAAATAAGCGGGGAGCGCTCCTGAGTTCTAGTCTCAGCTTTTTCCTTTTTTTCTTTTTTTGGAAAGTGCGAGGGAAGTTTATTAGGAAAACAATGCATTCTCAATAGACTGGAAGTGGGTCATCTCTGGGGTGAGAGTGACCTCAACTTCTTCAAATGTGGTAAAAATAAACATCTTTTAAAAGCAGCTAGAATTGAGACAAGGTCTCAGTGAACCTCCTCTCCTCTCCTCAGGCCGGTAGAGCTGTGGATGATGCAGCTCAGCCTCCACATTTGCTTTTGCCCTGGGATAGCAGCTGGCCATCTAGCTAAAGGTCAGATGCTGCGTGATGTGCTTGGCTGTGAAGTACGTTCAGGTCCTGACACTGACAGAGCAGGGCATCTGGAAGCCTGAGAATCGCCGTTCTGTGGCATGTGTGTCCAGGGCTCTGGCACATGCCGGACTGGCGCATGTCCTCATTTCTCTGTTCTCATACAGCTCCTTGCGTTCCCGGAGGCCTATGCCAGATACTCAGATGTTTAAAAGATTCATTGGACAAATTAACATCCCCCTTTTGTAAAGTCCTCAGACCTGCGTCTCAAGTTGACCAAATTGGAAGGGAATCCAGACAATGAGTTTTTTAGGGTTTTGCCTAAACTTGGATCAGCTCTCTGGAGCAGAAGCCATGGTCAAAGGACCCAGGCCTGAATGCAGCCCTCAGGCAGAAAGGGCCTGGGCAGTTCCTGTCGCCACAGCTGATTTCCCCTTGCTAGCACTGCCCATTTTGCTCTTTCTCTTTCATCAAAATGTCACAAGCAGCTACAATTTGAGCCGCTTTTATTGTCTCCAAAGACTTCAGGTGATCCTGTGGGTGTCAAGAGAGCTGAAATCCAGTCTCTCTCATTCTCTGGGCTTTGAAGAAGAGGAACCATGGGTGTGTTTGTCATTTTTAGCAGTCTTTGGTATGGGGCCAAAGCGCCAGGAGATACTAGAAGTGTCTAGAATTGTCTGATTGGCTGTTAGGATTAGCCATTAAACAAAGCAGCCAGTAACTAAACACGGGGGACCTTCTTGAACTTCAGTTGGGTGGGAGCTCATCCAGGACATCTGTGCTGGGACAGAAGGAGAACGACAGGAAAGAGCGGCTGATAAAACCCTCTCCAGCCTTTGTCTGGGACTCTCTCCTGTCTCTGCCTTGCTTCCTGTCCCTGCCCCTGCCCCGTGTCCCCAGGCTGTCCTTCCTGCCAGCTCAGTTCCCTCACTGGTGAGAGAGCTCAGGTGAGGCCCCAATCTCATGCACAAAGGAATGCTGCTGTGTGCATTATGAGCCGAGGGAAGGGAAGCCGCGGTCACTCACCTGCTCCCCCAAGCGTATGCACTTACTCGCTTGTTGATTGGAGAGGCTCCGAGGAGATTGTCTCAGTTTATCATTCATTTTTCTTGAACACTAAACAAGGCCAATTTCATCGCCTTGGAGTCACCAGTCCAGTTGGTTCTGAGCTGCGGTCACTGTGTTTCCAACCACATCCCTTCCCGCCACGGAGCGCCTTGGGGGTCGCCTCTTCATCCACTGCGACTGCTGCACCTTGACTCAGAAAAGACCCAGCACTGGACCCAGTGTCACGTACTGAACTGAGCACCGGCCTAGCATGAGGCTTCAGAAGGAAGTACCTCACGTCAGGTTCCCTTGGTTCGTTTCCTGTTGAAACAGCCGAGGCAGAGATGAATGGTCTGTTGTGGTCCTGAGGCGCCCAGGGCCTCCGGTGCATTGATTCCACACCGGAAATGCACTGCCCGTGGCAGGTTTTCTTTAGTGTTTTTCTGGGGCTCCAAGTGAGCCCGAGCAGATGGTACTGTCACAGGTGACAGCAGGGGAAGGGGTGTGCAGAGCCACCTGGTGTGGTAATTTGCTTCCTGTCAGCTACCTTAGAGGCTGCAGGGGTCAAAGTTACAAGGTTTCAAATGGTAACCACAGCTACAACAGCCTCAGCCTTGCGGGAGCAGGGAGCACCCCTCTTCCTCAGTGAAGATGCCGAGCTAGCAGAATCCACCTGGCTGACAGATTTGATGAGAATGAAGCCCAAGTCTGTGTAGGCTGATGGAGAAAGGCTGATCCACTTATTTTTTTTATTGGGAATGCCAGAGACCTTTCAGATCCTTCCACCCCCAACCCCTGAAAACTGTAAAGGCTTGTGGGATTCACTGTTGCCTCCTGTCCTGATCATTGTCGCGAGGTCATGTCTACCTTATGCTGTGTCTCGAGTCATTGTTAAGTCTTCTACTGTTGCAGTGGGCGGGGGTGGGGAATGTAGGCTCACACACAAGGAGCCTTGGGTTCAGTCAACATCAGCCACAATCCCTACAAAAAAGAGAATTTGCTCTGAATTTCTTCTCTCCTAGCTCAGAAGACCCACAAAGTCAGTCCAGCTCTTTTTCATCTCATGGTACCTTTCCTGGCACGTTAAACCTAACAGGCGCTTTAGTCAAAATCAGTTGCTTTGAAAGTTGTACCAGTGAGGGCCAGCTGGATCATGGTATTGGCAGAATATCTCAGGGAACAGATGTTCCTATTCAGATCCATGAAACTGGAAACATTAAAAAACAACAACCATGACATTGATTGATAGTGAATTTTACTGTGTCAGACTGCTGAAGCTCAGCCATAGAATAGTCTCTCGTACTGTCATCTTTACATTTTAAAAGCAGATTTCAGATTCACAAATGTTTAAATACTGTCCCTTGACTCAGATGCTAATTCTTGCCTGACGTACTGTCTATTACTTCTTTATCAGATTACACCATTTCTCAATTTCACACTGAAAACATCTCCTTCCTGAGGAAACAGCATCTCTGGGTGCCATGAGGTATTTTTGGTCTGCTGTGGCCAGCAGGATTTGCACCGTGGGCAGTCACGCTGGAGAAGCGTGCCTTGCTCAACCACTGATCTCTCACCTACCCTGGCTATCACTAGATGCCGTCTTTGAAGCGGAGGTGTGATCTTGAGAGTCCAGGCGTTGTATTGAGAAGCTGCCTTCTGTCTATTCCAGAAGATGAGCACCAGGGCTTGGTGGCGTTTTCCTGCACTGCTGACCAGAACATGCACAGTACCACGGGGACTTGGGCTTTGGGAGACGCTGGCACTGCTGTCCCCAGGAGTAGCCCCCACTGCAGTGCAGATGGCCGGCAAGAAGGGCTGCCCAGCGCTGTGTCCCCTGGATGAGAATGATCTGGAAGAGCAGTTTGTGAAGGGGCATGGTCCAGGGGGCCAAGCCACCAACAAAACCAGCAACTGTGTGGTGCTGAAGCACATGCCCTCCGGTATCGTGGTCAAGGTAGACCTGGGATGGGGGTCTGGGCACTATGGCTACACAGGCCTCTCCTGAGTGCAGGTGGTCAGCCACGAGGAGTGGCTCATCCTGGCACTGTCCACCCTGTGCCCTGAACCATTATCCTAAGGCAGAGCCTCCAGTCTTAGCAGCCCTGGCCCATGACCCTAGGGCAAGACATGTGGTCACTTGAGTAGCAGACAGCACTGCCTCACAGGCAGCAAGCAGTGCTGACAAAGGCCACTGTCACTGTGGCTCCAGTCCCTCAGCAGCAGCAAACAGCCCCAGGCTAAGGGCCTCTTGACTTTGTGGAAAGAAGTGTGCTAAGGTGAGAGCAAGTGTCAGGCACAGCTGCAGGCAGAAATCTTGGGTAATAGGAAGCCTCTGACCGACCAGTACGGTGCTGGTGGCTTATGCCTGTAATCTTAGCTACTCAGGCTGAGATCTGAGGATCATGGTTCAAAGCCAGCCCAGGCAGGAAAGTCCTTGAGTAGAGATGGCCACTCTGCCTCTAAAAGAGGAACCTGGCTGGTAGAGCTGGTTCACCATGCACAGCCACACACTGACCACTAGAGGGCCCCAGAGCAGCACGCACAGCCTGTGAGAGCCAGGGCAGAGAGCACAAAGGCATCCATCCATCCCCAAGGGACTAATGGCAGCGATAGCAACCCTGCACACACCACGTGATTTGGTGCAGTACACATGTGAACTCCAGCCCCCAAGCTCACAGTGATCCAGGTGTGGGGTCTGAGGCCATCCCACCCTCCCTCCTGAAAACTCAGTTATGGGGAACAAACTCAAACCTGCCTCCTCTCTGTGCGTTAGACATTCACCGTTGTTTCTGTGTTCTTTCCTTTATAAGCTTTGTGAGACACTGGCCCACAACGAACATTTTTAGGTCAGGACTATATGGTCAGCTAACTGTGAAGATGGTGAATGGTGCAGGTTTATTCCTTGATCACAAGCTAGATTCATCACTTAATGTTTTTATAATTATTTGGGAGATTTTTTTTGGCATTTTAAAAATTGCTTAGTTTTACAGAGGTAAATTTCATGGTTACATCTCCACACGTTTAAAATATAACCCAATCAGCCTCTCCCACTCTTACCACTACTCCTTTCCCTTTGATTTTTAGAATTTATTTGAAGGTTATTTTTGGGGGCTACCTGAGGATTGAACTCATGGCTTTGCATTTGGTAGGTCAGCACTCTACCACTTGAGCCACACCTCCAACCCTTTCTGCTCTGGCTATTTAGGGTCTCACTTTGGACTCAGGCCAGCCTGGACCTCAACCCTCTTACCTATGCTTCAAGTCCTATCTGGGATCTGCACACTATCACACCCAACTTTTTCCATTAAGATGGAGTCTAAAACCCACCCCCACCTCACCCACCCCCAGTTTGGCCCTAGAACCTCAATCCTCCCAATCTCAATTTCCAGCATTGCTGGGTGACAGGCGTATGGCTACCACACCCACCTATTGATCAAGAATGGGAGCTCATGAGCTTTTTGCCTAAGCTGATCTAGAAGTGTGATCCTCCTGTGTAACTAGGATTAATTCTAAACCAATGCCAGTACTGGAGCTGGAACTCAATGCCTTGCCCAAGAGCTTCTTTTGATCAGGGCTGGGACTCTACTGCTTGAGCCATAGCTCCACTTCCTGCTATTATTGGAGGTAAGAGTCTCAAGGACACCATTGCCGGGGCTGGCTGATCCTCAGATCTCAGCTTCCTGGGTAGCTAGAATTACAGGCATGAGCCATCAGCACCCAGCTTTGGCTCTGAATTTTGATCTTCCTTAGATGGCAGCCTACTGAGTAGCTGAGAGTTTAGGTGTGAACCCTTGGCACTTGGCCAAAAATAATACCTTTAATTATAAAGCTTTCCTAGTAAAAGACATAATACAGCTGGTGTGTACAGAGGCCACAGGCCAGAGCCAAAAAAGGCCCTCACAACCCCTCTCTGCTGGGACTTCTGACAAGTGACTTGGCTCGTAGTCTGTCCTCATCTGTAAAGGACCAGGTGGAAAGAAATGACTTCTGAGAGCCTATCAATCCCTTGTCACTCCATAATTTCACATCACTAACATCATCTCTTGCAGTGCCACCAGACAAGATCTGTTGATCAAAACAGAAAGCTAGCTCGGAAAATCCTACAAGAAAAAGTGGATGTTTTCTATAATGGTGAAAAGAGCCCTGTTTACAAAGAGAAACGAGAGGCACAGAAGAAAAAGCAAGAAAGAAAAAAAAGAACAAAGGAAACTCTAGAAAAAAAGAAATTACTGAAAGAACTAAGGGAGTCAAGTGAAAATGTCACTGAGAAAAGAACTGCTGATTCTGACTGAATCTACAAGAAGTTTCCATGGAGGTGGCGGCAGCCAGGCCTCTCTCCTAGTGAGTTTGCAACCTCAAGCTAGCACCCACACAGATGAGAAGCCGCCAGTGAACGTCAGCTTGTGTGCTCAAGAATAAAACTGTAGTGCTGGGAACATGGCTTAGTGCCCCGGGTTCAATTCCTCAGTACTATATAAATGGAAAAAAAGGCTGAAGTGGCACTGTGGCTCAAGTGGAAGAGTGCTAGCCTTGAGCAAAAGAAGCTCAGGGACAGTGTCCAGACCCTGAGTTCAAGCCCCAGGACTGGAAAAAAATAGTACTATAGAGTTAGGGTCACAGCAGAGTACCTGTCTGGCAAGTGTGAGGCTCTGTTTAGACCCCAGTTTGACAAGAAAATTATAAATAAAACTGAGCCACACCCCTCAGCTATTTCTACCTGTTTTTTTTGTTTTTTAGTTTGTCAGCCATGGAGCTTGAACTCTGGGGCTGGGCTTGGGCACTGTCCTTGAGCAAAGCAAGCATTCTACCACTTTGGCCACAGTGCTACTTCTGGTGTTCTGGTGGTTAATCGGAGATAAGCTGGCTTTGAACTGCAACTCAGATCTCAGCCTCCTGAGTAGCTAGGATTACAGGTATCAGCCACCTGCTAAGTAAAACACAAAGAAGCTATTACTTGCCCATGTAATTGTAACTCCTCTGTACAGTATGTTCACAAATAAAATTAAATTAAATTAAAAAAAAAAAAAAAAGAAGCTATTACTACTTGGTGCCTGGCTTCCCATATTTTCTTAAGGTAGACATTGCCTTGTGTGTCTGTTTTACTATAAAAAGCTAGAAATAGCTAGGCTATTCAGAATACCAGAAGTGGCACTATGACTCAAGTGGTAGAGATCTGGCCTTGAGCTGAAGAGCTGAGAGACAGTGCACAGGCCTAGAGTTCAAGCCCCATGACCAACCAAAAAAGGAAAAAAAGCCAGGTGCTGGTGGTTCACACCTATAATCCTAGCTACTCAGGAGGCTGAGATCTCAGGATCACAGTTCAAAGCCAGCCTGGGCAGGAAAGGCCGTGAGACTTATCTCTGATAAACCACCAGAAAACCGGAAGTGGTGCTGTGGCTCAAGTGGTTAGAGCACTAGCCTGGAGCACTACCGCTTTGAGCCACAGCTTCACTTCCCATTTTCTAATGATAAACTGGATATAATTCTCACAGATGGACTTGCCTGCTGGGCTGGCTCTGAACAGTGATCTTCAGATCTGAATAACTACAATTACAGGCGTGGGCCACCAGCACCCAGCCAAGGGCACCCTTATTCACAAGTACCACCAACCTCTCACTGAGCAGCTCTGAAGCAGCCTTGAGAACTCAAGGATCTCCAGGCTGGGGGCGTGGCTTAAGGATCCCGCATCTTAATACAAATTGTTAATGAAAATAAGCTTTATTACATCAAGTAATAAATACAAAGATGCAAACAGTTTTCAGTCTTCCAGATGTTTTGATCAACATACAGTACGTGTGGAAGTGAAATGTACATAGGCAGTTTGCAAATGTTCAGGGCGCTTTTCAGGTTTGGTAGGTTGCTCCTTCTTCTGTATTTATAACTTGTGCATTTTTAAGACTGACTTCAAAGCACTAAGGGTCATGCAAATGCTTAAGCAGAAAAGAATTTCCAGGAAGCAGAATCTACACAGTATGGCAAGTGGAACCAGCTACTCCTAAAACCGCGGTCGGATGCTTTAGAACCAAGTCCTCGAAGGGGAGGAGCTTATGGAAAGGAGCAAAAGCAGTTTCAATGATGTATAAATGTAGTCAAACAGGAGATTAAAGGGAGTCACTGGTATCTTGGAGGCAGACAAGTTTGCTGTAAAATAACTTCACATGCATTTTTCAAATCAATGCTTGGAGAGAAAAAAAAGAACCCTGAATCATTTGTAACCTCTTAAAACGCAAATTCTAATTAACTGAGAAACCTTTTCCCATTCTTAGAGATTAGGTTCAGAGCTCAGTGAACCAAAGGAGAAAATACTAAACTGTTACCATTTTGAAAACAAGTTTCCTGATCAGGGGAGACCTGTGCCTGCTCCTCTCGCGGAAGGCTAGGATCTGGCGTTGCGTTCAGTCTCCGCCAGGCACTCCCGAACCAGGCCTCGAGCATGAATGATGCCTGAAACACAACCAGAGGCTCATTCACCCACCCCAAATAAGCTGGGCATGTTGACACACCCACAGCCCCATCAGATACTCGGGAGGCTGGAGCATGAGAGTCGTTTAAGACTAGGAGTTTGCGAGCAGCAACATGGCAAGTCCCCATCCCCTCTACCCATCTGTTTGAAAAAATGTTCCCAAGTAATTGCACACCTCTAGCCCCCTTTTCCTCCTGTTACCACACACTTGTGGGGGTGTAGCTGGCACTAAGCTTCCCTGCTGGTCACTTAGGAGGCCCTGTGTGCCACTCAAGGGCCCAGAAGCCTCCCAGGACCCGCCCCTCGCTCACCAGCACGCCAGTTACCAGAACTCTCTTCCTTGCTCTGGATGCCCAATCGCAGTACGCGGGGCAGAGCAATGCCCACCTGGCTTGGGCTCTACCTCCTCCATGCCCTCATCAGCCACAGCCCCAAACTCTGCCAGTCCCCAATTTGGACTCAAGTCTCAATCTCTTCACCCAAGTTTCACAAACACATGTAGTGTCCTGCCTTCAGCAGTCTAGATCTTTCCCAAGATGCCGCCATGGTTTTAAAAACCTCAAATCTGTGATCACAAATGAGCCCAGGGCCCTGGCTCCTCAGGTAGAAAACCCCTCTCTCCTCCCTCTTGAGTGTAACGTTGGAAGGACATGGGTCTCAAGTCACCTCACCAAGCATGGGTCCCTTATGTATTGGGGATGGAGGTGTAGCTCAGAGGTAAGTATGCCTGTCTAGAAAGTCCAGGGCCCCAAGTTCAAACCCCAGGACTACACAAAACAGTTTTTGTCCCTAGTGAAGGGGACAGGCTGCAGCATCCCAGGCTGTGGCTCACCTCGCTTTAGTCTCTCCATGGCGCTCTTGCTCCCTGCGTAGGTGGGTCTGATCTCTTTCCCCAGCTCCTCAATGATGGCCAGCAGCTCTGCATACTTGCTCTGGGGCACCTGACTGCTCCCAGTTCCCTGCAGAGTCAAAAGGAGGGGTTCAGGTGGTGGGCTCTGGGGCACCTGACTGACCTGGTTCTTTGGAGTCTGGATTAGGGATTCCAGTAGTGGGCCCTCACATGACCCCAACCATAGAGGGTGAGCATGTGGAGGAAGGCTGGGAGGGAAAGCAGGCCAGCATCCCAGGCCCCCTGCCCTCCCCCCCCCCCCCCCCCCCCCCCCCCGCCGCCATGCTTGCTCCACCACTCCAGAGACAACGGCAGGGGAGAGTTGGTTCTCCAGAAGCCCTTTCCATCTCTTCAGGGAAAGGAGGCCTGGGGTCCCCCCAGGAACAGAGTTCACAGGGTTTCCGTGGGCCACAGTACCCACTGGGATGGGAATGGTCAGATCTAGCTGTACCTGAAAGCAGGGCCCGCCCACAGCCCCAAACCCACCCGCAGCCCCAAGCAAGCACCAGGCTGGGCCCAGGGCCTGCGGGGCTCTGCGGGCGCTGCTCCTCCAGCATGGACACCTTCTCGCAAGGCTGAGGCCACACCAGGGCAGCCAGCTCCCCCTGCAGGGCCCTAGCCTGCCCCTCCCGCCTCTGCCGCCTGCGCTCCCAGGCAGAGGCCCCCAGCCTCCAGGCCTCCAGGCACAGCCTCCTCCTGGCTTTGGGCCTGGGCAGCTGCAAGGCTGGGCCACGCCTCAGCCCATCCTCCAGACGCTGGTCCCGCTGCTTCTCCTCCCAAGACAGGGCGGCCTGCTGGGGCATGGCTGGGTTCTGTGTGCCACCTGAGCCACCATGGCGACCCTGGAATGCTGGCTGGGGACGGGAGAGAACCTTCCGGCTGACCCCAGGACTCCGAGGGTCATGCACCAAGCAGCGACTTGGGGACCACACCCTGGCCCTCCCCCTCCCCAGGAAACAGGTGCAGAGACCATTCCCCCATGTTCCCAACACCCCAGCACAGGCGGTGGACATGGGCACTCTGTGGCACATGGGCCGCCCACCCATCCCCCACAGCGCCTCACCTGGGTGTAGCCCAGCGAGGGCGGCCCATAGTCACTGAGCAGCTGGCGGTACTGGGAGGAGGCTGCCATGCTGGTGGACGGCGAGTGCACGTTTCCAGCTGCGGGGAAGGAGAGAGGAGTCAGGAGCCACTGGACGCCGCAGCAGAGCTCACCCTAGGACCGATGGCCACAGCCCAGAAGCCGGCCTCCACGCCTGGCCGCCATGTGCGGCTGAAGCGCACCAGCCCCTCCCTCAGGTGTCACCACAGAACCCACCCGCCCACGTGCATGCCCACGTGGGGCGTCCACACCCGAAGACAGCTGCAGGCTGCCCTCGGCCGAAGCCTGGCCCACTGGAGGCAGCTGACCAGAGCCACAGTCCCACCACACGGCCCACCGGCGACCAGGCCGGGTTACTTCACACAGAAGCCTCTGCGCCCTGCGACCCTGCACCGGCAGAGGGTGAGAAGGGCGGGAAAGGCAGTGGGCTGCTGGGCGTCCCCTGGCTGGCGAGGCGCCCTGCACACACGCCCAGAGGCTGCGGAGGACAGAGCCTCAGACAAGCCTGTCCACCTCTGAGCTATCACCCCCAGAGGGAGAGCAAGCCCTACATCCCAACTACAACCCTGCAGCCAGGCCCAAGTAGGGCCCAGAGTCCTGTTCAGCACGCCCTGCACATGGGCTGGGGCACCGTGGCTGGGGCGCGCAGACCCATAATGGCGTCCGAGTGGCCATTAGCGGGTAAAGGATATCCCGTGAATTACAAACAGCAGTAACCATGGAGAATTTACCTCGTCCTCCTCGGCAGCTGCCCGCCTGCCACCCCCAGAGCCAAACAGTCTCTCACACACAGCGGGCTCCGTGGACTTGGCCCCAGGGATGGACAGCTGGTGCCAGGCTGGCCAAGCAACCAGCTGCTCATCTGGTATGGGTGAGGGGAGGGGCGGGAGGAAGGAAGTTCAGGAGCGGGGAGGGGCGGAGCATGGAGGGGTGGCCCCAGGTGACATCCCACAGAAAAGGCTCAGCAGCCAGCAGGAGACCCCAACACCTCTGGGTCTAGGAGCCCAGGGCAGTGCTCAAGGTTCTAAGTCCGGCGCTGGCACAGCTGGAGGTACCGAGTGGGGATCCAGACGCTGAGGTGGGCAGAGAACCCCACACCCGGCCCCAGGACCAGCGTCCACCCCTCTCAAGCGGGGCCAGCGAGGCACCGGTGCCCTGGGGCAGGTGCACAGGCTGGGCATACCCCACACACACCCCTGACCAGGCCTGGCAGGTGGCAGCATACAAGAGTGGCGAGGTGGGCGTGCAGACTCCCTCACCACCAGCTGCCTCAATTTCCAAAGCTCTGGGGCAGGGGGGCGGGTGGCTGGCTTGGCAGTCCCAGGCTCGGGGCCCAATCCCACCACTACAGGGCCACACCTCCCTGGCCGCGGACAGGGGGAGGGGGCAGACTAGACGGCTTTAGGCGTCCAGTCCCCAAGGGGCCTGCGCTCTCCCCACCTCCCAGTCCACCTTCTCACCTGGCCTAGGAGCCTGCCTCAGTTTCTCCACTTGAAACTACGCCTGGCGATAGAGGATCTAGGTCCTACACCATGGTTCTGGGGTCAGTCTGGGGGTGACGGGGAAAGACAAGTAAGAGACTGCCCCGCTTTGAGAAGGGGGCAGCCATCAGCCCCGCGGGAGAAGGGTGGGCGACCGAGTCCGTGCGGGAGCCCGCGTCCCGGGGGCCCGGGGGAGGACACGGAGGCGGCTCCACGTCAGCGGGCGGAGCGGAGCCCGGCAGACAATGAGCGCAGTGTGGCGGAGCCGGAGGGCTCGGCGGGGCCGCCAGGCTCCCGGGCCGGGCGGCTCCCCGCCCCCACGCCAGACAAAGAGCGGCCTGGGCCGGCGCTGGCGGCCTTCCCGCCACTTGGGGCGCCTGGGGGGCTCGGGGCCGGGAGAGCTTTGTCTAAGTCGGCCGCCGCCGGCCAGGCCGCAGCCTGGCAGCCGCACGGAGGCTGGGCCGAGGGCGCGGGAGGATGGCGGGGCCGGCGGAGGCCGCGCCAGAGTCCATCTTGGATGCAGATGGCCGGGGAGCGCCCGGCCGCGGGCCGGGTCCACCGGGAGGGGCGCGGCCCCGCCCGCCAGGCCTCCGCCCGCCTCCGGGCGGCCCCCGCGGGGGGACCGCAGGCCCGGGCCGGGCTGAGGGGTCCCGGCCCGTCACTGACCCCAGACCCCGGAGGTCTCCGGCTGCGCCCTGGCGGGCATCGAGGGCCCCCCGCCCCCCGACACTGGCGAAGGCGGCCGCGAGGGAGACCCAAGAGCCACCTGGCCACGCGAGCTCCGCACCGCGCGCGGCCGCGCCCCCGCCCCGACCCCGCGTCAGTGCTCAAGAAGTTTAAAAAAGGGAAAAAGGGGGCGCCTGGCCCGCAGGGTCCCCGCGGCGCCGGGCGCTCGCAGGGCGAGGGCGGGAGGCCAGGCCCCAAAGTTAGGGCGAACTGCCAGCGTGGCGCCCGGACCGGCGGGGCCCGGGGCCGCGGCAACCGGAGGGCGCCCGCACGGAGCCGGCGCCCGCCCCGAGGCTCCGGGGCCCCGGGCCGCGCCTCGGCTGCCGGAGAACTTTTCAGGAGTTTCCCGGGAGCGCCCGGCCGCGACCGGGCGAGGCGTGGAGCCCCCCCATGGCAATGCCGGGGTCCCCGGGGCCGCCGCCCCGCCTCGTGCCCCGCACCTCCCGCGGCCGTGGCCCGACTGCAACTTCTTCCCCGGGGCGCCCGTCCGAGGGAGCTCGGCGCAAGCCCCGGGGTCCCGGCGGCTCGCGCGCCTGTGCCGCGCGGTCCCCGGCCCGGCCCCCACCCGGCGCCCGCCCGCTCGGGGCTGCCGCGGCGGGGCAGAGGCCGCCGCCCCGCGCCCTGCCCACGCGGCCCAGCCCCGCGCGCCCCAGGGCCCGCCCGGCCCCGGCGCCCCGAACGCCCGGCCGCTCCCGCCTACCGCCGGCAGGGGCCCTCGCCGAGCCGCCCGAGAGCGCGAGGAAGAAGCCGAGCGAGAGCCTCCCCCGCCCGCGCCCGGCGCCCCTGGATCCGCCGGCGCGGGGGACCCCGCGGCCGCCCGGCCCGGCGGCAGCCCCGGCCCCGGCCCCGGCCCGCCGCGCGCCGCGCGCGCCGCCAACTTTGGCGACGCGGGCGCCGAATCATGGCGGCGGCGGCGGCGCTGCCCCGGCCGGGACCCGCGCGGGGGCCGCGGGCGCGTGGGAGCCCCGGGCCCGCAACTTGGCGGCGGCGGGCGCGCTCACTCACCGGCATTGAGGGCGGCGGCGGGCATGTGCGCGGCCAAGTTGGGCTTGTACGACATCCCCGCGGGCGGCGGGCGGCGGGCGCCGCCGGGCCGGGCCGCGAGGGCGGCGAGGGCGGCGGCGAGGCCGGGCGGCGGCGCGGCGGGCCCCGCGTCCCCGCGCCCCGCGTCCCCGCGCCCGTCCGAGCGCCCGCCGAGCGCCCGCGCACTTTTTGTTGTCGCCGGCTCGGGCCGCGCCGGCAAATATGGCCGTCGCTCGCCCCGCCGCCGCGCCGCAGTATATCACCCATACATCGGGCGCGGGCGCGGGGCGGCCGCCAACTTCCACCGGCCCGGGCCGGGAGGGGGCGGCCCGCGTCAGGGGGCGGCTCCGCCCGCGGCCGCGCCCCGCGCCTCCGGCGGCGCCGCGCCGCAACTTGCCAAAGTTTGGGGGGCTGGGGTCCCGTCCCCCGCGGCCGCCGCGGCCCCCGCGCCCGCCTCCCCCGGACGGGGCGGGGGCGGGATGGAAAAGTACCTGAGAAAATGGAGGCGGCCGCGACCTTTTCAGCGCGTAGATCATTCCAGATGCCGCGCCCGGCCTGGGCGCAGCCCGCTCGCGACACCGCTCCGAGCCCGAGAGGCCGGCGCGAGTGTGGCCCGCCGCGGACCCCCGGGCCCCGGGAGGCCGTGGGACCCCCCCCCCCCCGGCCGCGCGGCCCCCGCGCCCCGGCAAGTGCGGGCCGGGGATGCGACTGGGACGCGGGGCCCCGGAGGAACTTGGCAAAGTTTCCGCCTCCCTCCCTCCCCCCCCCCCCCGCCTGCGGTGCGCCCCGCACCCCGCCCCGCCCCCGCCACCCCACGCGTCCGGTGCGGAACCGGGGTTCCACGCGTCGGGGCCCAGCAAGCACAAAGCCCGCCCGCCCCGGGGCTATTTGCTTTGTGGATCGCCGAGGTTTGCGGGTATTTGCAGCCGGTCACACAGACTGGTGGCGCCAAGGAGGAGAACCCCCCCATCCCCTCAGGACGCAGCAGGAGAGGAGAACCCCCCCCCACCCCCTCAGGATGCAGGAGGAGAGCCCCCCACCCCCTCAGGAGGCAGGAGAACCCCCCCATCCCCTCAGGACCCAGCAGGAGGAGAACCCCCCACCTCAGAACGCAGGAGGCGAACCCCCCATCCCCTCAGGACCCAGCAGGAGAAGAAACCCCCCATCCCCTCAGGACGCAGCAGGAGGAGAACCCCCCATCCCCTCAGAACACAGCAGGAGAGCCCCCCCAACCTCCCCTCAGGACACAGCAAGAGAGAGAACCCCCCCACCCCCCCTCAGGACACAGCAAGAGAGGAGACTCGCCCCCCAGCCTTGGGAGCTGGACCCCGACCTTTTACCTCACAAAGAAATGAATGGGTCTCCCCTGCACCTGTGATTTTAGATCATAAAAAGAAACGTGAAATTGACTTTCAAAGCATTTGCAGTTTTGGTGGGCTCGTGAAACACACACACAGACCTCTGCCATTTGAGCCGCCTTGCTTGCCACTTCTGGCTTTTGGCTACTTAATTGGAGATCAGTCTTTCCCAGACTCATCTGCCCCAGCCCGACCTCAAACTGTGATTTTTTTATTTTTTTAATCATACTTGATCTTCCTAAGGGAGGTGTGCACCCTAGTTCAGGTGAGCACATGCAAGAGCTGAGGCGCAGGACCACACAGGGCTGGAAGCTACAAGGGGGAAGTTACCGAGGCATCAACTCTGTTCCCTGGCCTGCTGGAAGAGGCCTCCCTTCCCTTGGGGTAAGAATCCAGCCTTGGTGGCCTGGCCCAGGAGCTTCTAGACATGTCTGCTGGTAGTCTGTTTCCTCTTGCTATACTTTCATTCTGATACCTGTCCCCCTTAACGTCCAGCCCATTTGGAAAGCTTTTAAAATTTTTTCCCTTTAATTTCTAGTTGAGGTAAAATTCAAGTAGTCCCACTGGTTTCTCTGCACATTTGCTATGAACATTCATGTGCAGGTTTTTGTGTAAATGTAAGAGGCACCTTTAAAAGCTGTTTTTGCAGCCAGGCACCAGTGACTCACACCTGTAATCCTAGCTACTCAGGAGGCTGAGATCTGAGGACTGTGGTTCAAAGCCAGTCCACACATGAAAGTCCATGAGACTCTTATTTCCAATAAACCACTAGGAAACTGCAAGTGGCGCTGTGGCTCAAGTGGTAGAGCACTGGCCTTGAGCTAAAGAGCTGAGGGACAGCGCCCAGGCTCAGGGTTCAAAACCCACAACCTACCAAAAAAAAAAAAAAAAAAAAAGCGGCTTTTCCTGGGCCCATGGATTCACTGAAAGCTGAACTCCCAGCTCCCTGCTTCCCCCTCAATACGTGCGCACACCGCACCCCGTGCGTGTGCCCTTGGACCTGAGCCCCGCAGTCATTCTGTAATCACCTTGGGCCCCAGGGAAGACATGATCTACCACCTATAAATACCTTGTGAGAAAAGCCAAACTTGCACCTCAGACAGGTCATGCCATCTCTTTATCATCTTGTGGCAAAAGTTGGGACTGCTCCAAAGGCAACCGTCAGAGGCTCAGGAGAGCACTGGCTGGGCAGGTGTCCGATGGTTCCTGCTCCCTTCAAGTGGTAACATGGAAGCTTCTAGAAATTTTTTTTTTTTTTTTT